CTAGAAAATGATAAAATAAAAGAGAAAAAAAAAATTAAAAAAAAAGAAAATTCAATTTTTGACGATTTTGGAAATTTTTAAAAATCTTTTTTTTGAGTTGATTTTTTGAGGGATCTCTTAAAACATGATAAAACTAACATATTTTCACAAGACACGAAAAAAAAATGTTTTTTTTTGGGCCACCCTAATGTAGATGTTAATCGAATCGAAACAAGTCAATTTGAATCAGAAGCATTCATAGAATTTTGTCATGGGGACGATTTGAAGGGAGAATAGGTTAACACGTTCTTTGTGTAGTTTGACGATGTCCTCCTAGTGTACACTAAAAAAACAAGCAAAAGGAATCTAGTGACAGAAAAAAGAAAATAATATCGAACTATTTAATGGGAAACTGTCGGGTATTGTAAACCATTAGATCCGACATATTTCGACTAGTTTTGGAAAAATGAAAAAATACAATACTCATTTTTCACCTTGTGCCACAACTCATTTGTTTATAAATTTAATAAAACTTGATTTCTAGACAGTGAGGTATGTTTCAATAATTATTGAGAAGCATAATTTTTTTTTTTATAGCGTTATATTGGTTAGAAAACTACAAATCCAACACATATTTAAATGGAAAATAAAATAACAAAACAATTTTAAGGTAACATTTAAATGTAATTCTACAGTGGGCTCTGGTTTTTCATGTTAAAACCTTCTTTACAAGTAGGTTGGTGGAATCAAGTGGGACTATTTTATATGAGTATGGCCCTGAAAGGTCAACCATTGGCCGACTATTATTGGTCTAGCTTGCTACGATTATTTATGTAAGTGCATTTTTCAGAAAAACATGTTAAGGATTTTTTTTATGGAAAAACTAACACTATAGGATTATTCTTGCCCCCCAAAATAGATAGTTAAGTACCAAGTTTTAAAAAAATCTACTAATTACCTTCCTTAGCGTCGATGAAATTAAAAAAAAGAAATGCAAAAGAATTTTATGGGGAGCGTCAAAACAGTTAAAAGCCGAGAAAACCTCCACCATTGTAATCAATAGGGTCTTATGATTAGAAACTGAATTTCATTCTCTATATAAATATACAGGGTGTTCCAATAAAAAATTCCCACCTGAAAAATATCGGAATTAAAAAAAAACAGACAAAACCTGAGATACGTCGATTTTCTTTTCAAGGGCCCTTTGGCAGGGGCGTAAAATACCTTTAAACTTTAAATGGGACCCTATGTTGCGTGACACCTCATTTTAAAGCTTTTTCAATTCTGCTCACGATGACATACGACGTTTTAAATTTTGGTTTGATGACAATAAAATGGTCACTTCAAGAATAAGACAAAATATCAATGAATGAAAGAATGTTACATTATTAAGTGTTCAAATTGGTTTCCCTAATAACAAAATCTTTGTTCCACTTTTGAACGAACATTTCAAAGCATTTCCAGCGTTATTCTCCAACAATTGAACCGAATTTGAAACGTTCAAGTTAAAAATTTCGCGCGCCCCGGGAGCGATGCTCACGAGCATGCGCGGCCCGACGCGCTTTCTCCCGCGATCAGACCGTTCATTAACGTTAACTTTCACTGCTTCTGGCTCGTTTATTACGTAAACTATCAATGTAAAAACTTTCTGAAAATAAAAGTTTAACCCTTTCTTTAATTGTCTTTAAAATCTTGGTTCAATACGTCAATAGTTAATTAACAATTAATGTTATAAAAAAAGTTATCTTGAGAACAAAGAGGTACAGGTGAGAGAGAGGCGAGAAAAGAGAAATCTTTTTTTTAAATTACCGTAAAAATAAGCTCTATTTAATGCAAAAAGAGTGAATTTCCGAGCGGCTTTTGCCTGACCCTCTGACAATTTGATTATAACGTTGTTAAAATTTATGCGAAAAAATATTGCGGTATAAAAATTGAGAGTGCTGTATCTTAGGGGGCCAGAGCTTTTGAATATAGGCGAATTGGTCTAAATTGACTTATTTCAATACGTTGCCCACATATTTTACATACACCCTGTACAAAGCTTACGAGTAGACGTACCAGAAACTCATCTCTAATAAAATATTTTGCTCTAAAAACTTCAGGTGGCTCATTTGCATCATTTGCGACCTCTACAGGGGGTTGGTATCTTGAAAATTCTGAAAAGTAATCTTCTAACTTGCTTTTGCCTAAAAAATGGGATTAATTTATAATCGTTCGTGTCGATTAGTAATTGAGAATGTTAAAATATTAAACGAAAAGTTAACGCTAGTAAGCAATACACTGGGAAACTATAAATGACAAGAGAGGTGGAAAAATCGCTCACCCGCTAAAACTTTTTCCGCAAGTAGGTCTTGCTTATTGAGAAATAGAATCACAGATATAGTTCTCAACCATCTGTTGTTCCATATTGATTTAAATAAATCTAAGCTTTCCCTCAAACGATTCTGTGTCGGATCCTCCCGTAAAACCATATTATATGAACTGCAAGCTGTGACAAAAATGATCGCTGTAACGTCATTGAAACATTGGATCCATTTTCGCCTTTCGTCTCGTTGACCGCCAACGTCAAACATACTAAAAAAGTATAAAAATTACCATTACAAACGGTAAACATCAGCCGATAAAGGGTTTATTTTCGGGTGCGAAAAAAAAGATAAAGATGATTTTTAAAATGACTTTTTTATAAGCCTATTTTAAGGAGGTATATCGGGGTCCGAGGAAAGTGAGGAGCGCAGGGGGGGTCCTATGCTTTTCTTATGGGACTAAAGCCTGTTGCCAATTTGAAAAAATTTAATTCTATTGAAATTATTTGCGATAAACATTATCTATATAGCAAAGAAATCTACTCATATGCACATAGCATACATATTGACTAATTAACAACATAAAAATATCATATTTAAGTAGTTTTAAATTATATTTAATGAACGCATAAAGACTATGTAGATGTGGCAACAGCGCTAATAATTGACTAGCAGTTGTACACACTGCGAACCTACAGACCTCGGACATCGGAGATATTGCGCGTCAAATTCGGGTAAAGATGCGTACGCGTTCAAAAATGTATTGTGTGTAAACTATGTACAATATAATTATTATATATAGCAAATATATCGTATTATCCTCGCGAAGATTTGTATCCTTTATTTAAAATCCGTAAATCATGTGAACTGGTAAAACAACGAGAATTATGTTAATTTAGTTCTAAAGAAATGAAATGACACTCGCGCCCATCTCTCGTCCAAGTCAAAGAAAATGTTGGATGCAATTTTGAAGGTTCTGTGATAGAAATTACATTATTACTCACTGTTCGTGTTTTTAATCTCTATTTTAGTAATGTTACAAAAGTTTTGCAACTATAACTAATTTTTTAGATATAAAGTTTGCTGAGAAATATTTATGTTCCTTTGTTATTCCGTACAAATGCTTTTATCTCAAGTATTACTAATTATATTAATCAAGTAAAGAAAACTTTATGTAACCCTAAATATTGCTGGGTAATGATTACGATGTTTTTATAAACCATTAAATATATTAAAAGGATTTATCAACTGTATTTTTTATTCCAATAAATATATCACAGCTTCCTAGTCTTTTTTAATTAATCTAGTTTTTTAAAAACATTACAAAAAATCATCTGTTGTGGATAATTTATTGTTGATAACAATGTACATGGGATTTAGGAAAAATGTATATGTTTGAAATCAATTTCGTTTTTATCAAGTCTTTCAAATGTATTCCCTCCTTGCTGTCAGCTGATTGCGACGTTGCCACATTAATCCTCAAGTCAGACAGAAATGCAATTATTGGTTTCTGTTTCTAATTAATACAGCTGTACTATGTTCAAAACTTACATTAGTTTTACATCAAAAATAAGATAATACTGTGTACTATCTATGGAAAAGTTTTGTTTCACAATTTCTACATTTTTTTCTCAGTTATGGGCAAAAAAAGAGCCGCACCGTCCATCTTCGCCATATAAACCTATGTCAAAATGAACAACTTTCAACAACAATATCTCAAAATCTAGATTCAAAAGAAATTTCAAAAAAATATGACGCACAGGGGGAGCACTGGCTAATACGCCCGATATACCTGCTTAAATAGATTTGAATGACATTGTTTATTTTTTATTTGTGTATTTCTGTCACTATGAACATGGAATTTACAAAAAAAATTCCTACACTGTAAGAATCAATCTAAAATGTGCTTGAAAAATTATGAAGAATTTACTATGATTTTCCACATATCGAACTGAAAGTGCAATGCCAAAATAGTAGCAGTATTCCATCGGGACTTAGTTTTAAAAGTTTTAAAATACTGAAAAAATAGAATATGCCAATTTTTGTACACACTATTTACACTCACTAGGTATACCCAACAGGTATGTTAGGTACATTTGTACTAAAGTATGTAGTCAGCAATGGGGGTGTTTGCCCGGGGTTCCAATCCAGAAACTACTCCAACGACCAAGATATTGAAAAGCCAGAATACACTCGAGAATAAACTCCAATAATCACCACTATTTCCAGCCGATCATGACGACAGATTCCCGACAGCCGACATTGTACCGAAAATCTCCCAAAATTAAATAGTTCACATCGGTTCCCAATAATGAATATTACATAATCTTTTATTCGCTTATTTAAAAAATAAAAACCACAACTAGCTTAGTTCCAGATTGCTACTCTCGCACTTACTAATATTCAACCATCTACTAAAAATTTGTGCGCTAATGAGCAAACTCAAATTTATGATTTATCATTAACTAATCTATGTTGAATTTCAATGTATTGAAATTCATTGTTGTTCAATTATTTATCACAACATTCTTCATGTTAAATTCAACTGTTAATGACTACTCTGATAAGCAAAGATAGAAATAGACACTTGTAACAATAGAACGTTCCAAGAGCACTACCTATTATTGGAACACTATGCAAAAGGAACAGCACATTACAGTTTAGATGAAAAGAATTCACAAAATTATTTTGTCAGTTTAAGAAATAGTAAAAATTATGGTTTTATTCATTTACAACTCACTGCCTACTATTTTGACGCAGCATTTAAAAAAAAAAAACTATTCATTTAATTATTAATTTTAGTGCACGTTTTTCCACTTTGTCTTTTAATATTGGCGGCTTGAATCTAACAACTACTTACTGAAAGTTGACTTTATCAACTTGGAAGAGCGTTTCAAAAATACCGCTTGTAAGTACACGGCAACGTAAAATATCTTGCTCCGTTGGTGTGTAGTCTGGTCGTCGAATTGTATGAACTTGATCAAGGAAGTATTTTGCGCAGTCTATCAATTGGTATTCATTACTTCTTTCAAAGGTTGCCTGAAAAATATTTTTCATTACATTTATATAAGTATAAATGAAAAAAAAAAAATCCAAACAATTAAGGTACTTATATTTTAAAAATTTATACTGAGGAATTAACTTTGAATTAATTTAAACGTCATACTTGACGATCAGGAAAAAAGTTGGAATAAGAATATGTAATTTAATGGAAAAACAAACAACTTGAACAACAGAAATAACACATAATTTGCACTGATAAGTTATAGAAATTGTTCAAAATGGTCACCCTTTTTCTCTCAGGCATAAATTTATTCTTCGTCGTAAATTAAAGTCTACTTTATCCAATAACTGCTGGCGTTTAAATTCATATCAAATATTATTATTCATGTTTTTGTTGAAAACGAAAAAGTTTTTTAAAACTAAAAGAGCAAGAAAAATTTTAAAATTAAATTCCCCATAAAATAAAGTAATAATTTTTTTAAGTCCGCCAACGGGTTAAAAAATTCTGTAACATTTTAATCATGCATCATCCTTTATCAACCCTTTAAAATGCTTTAATTGAACTGTCGATTCATACTCTTGGTAATTTTGCGAAAAAATAAAAAAAAAAACATCTATTTGTATCCACTAATTGATTATGGAAAAAATATACTGTCTACATAATTATGTGTAACCTCATTCAAGGTCTCCAGGTCGGCAAACCCTATTTTAATTTTCTATTTTGCAAATTTCACTTTGTAAGCACATAAATTATCCCCTAAAAACTGTATAGGTCCCATATTTCATTATCAACATATTAATTTGTGCCTGCCTTCACTGGTAATGCGGAATCCAGTAGCATAATCAAATTTTAAACAAAAAAAATTGATAATTAATTTTTGTTAAATTATAAGTAGGCTTTGATAACTAACAAGAAATTCAAATGTCATGTTACATAACATTTTCTGTAGCTTGACAATAAACATTTTTCTCTTAATATTAATGCAAAAATGTAATTCCAGATATAACTTTTAAGTTTGTTTTGGAAATAGTTTTGTCTCTCTATTTTAGGGTTTCATTTTGCGTGACAATTAATTAGAATTTATGCATATTTACTTACTTGTACACCCCTATCTTTCCAGAGAGCTTCTGTATGGTCATAAAATTCAGGAGGGTAATCAAAATCAGGGCCAGTAGCGCAATCTTGGATCCAGTCTACTTTAACCTGGTTTTCTGGATTTTCTAGAGCTACTGGTGGGCTCAATGTTGACATTGCCCCTGTAATTGTCTAAAATAAAAAGTAGATGTTTTATTTCATTTTTGAAATTTATACTATGTAAAAATCGAATCCCCCAAGAACCATAAATAAAATATTCATCTCCACAACTAACAAACATAGGGAATGTTTGTACCTATTTTTCTTTTATATGTATAAAAATAGAAAAGGCACCAATATTCGTATCTATTTCTGAGATGTGTGATCATCGAAATTAATTGAAATAATAAATAAACAACTGAAAGTTATAACCTAAAGTGCTAAAGTAATTATACGAAATACTTGTGTAACATGAGTATTGCAGAATATATTGCTCTTTAAAAGTTTGAATTTTGATTCTAATATAGGGCATCACAAATACAGTCATACTTGGGTATTAAAACAATTATTTATGTCACATATACAATGCGAATATACCTGCTACATTTAAAAAAGTATATGATCATGCAAATTTCTAGAAACATCGCAACAATTTCTAATCCCCAAAACATGTAGAACATATTAATACTATCTGTTGTACAGTAAGACTTGCCAAATTAACTAACTCTGATAAAAGTGTTTTGCAAATGTTACCTAATTATATAAACAGGGTGTGCCATTTAACACTCCCGCTGCCAATAACTCCGAAATGAAGAAATTTATTTTAGTTCCGGAAATTGGGGTATTTCTGTATGGATGGCGTGGCAATACTAAAAAATTGTTTGTTCCCTGGAACGTGGAAATGCAGTCCATCTGAAAGATTGTTAAATGTTGAGTAATTTTTGTAAAATAAAGTTTTCCCCTATATATTTACTTGTTTTTGAGATATGTCGACTTCAATATACAATGTATGATTGTAACAGGAAAATTTATTATTTTATTTAAATCACACCAGGACAAAAAATTCTTTTAAAATATTGTTATAATGGTTATAATGATTCACATCATCACATCACATGCTACAGAAAAAAAAATTGTACAATGGTAAATCTTATCAGAGGTAGAGACGAACCGTATTTTATCAAATGTTATTAAAAAATGCAGTCATAGGTGGCTCATGTCATTTGTTTAAAATATAACAATGACAGATGACATATTAGTTTTCCAATAATTACAGTTTTATTAGTGTGCCTCTTTCAATGTAGCTATACTAGTTATAAGATTTACCATTGTACAATTTTTTTTCTGTAAGTGATCATTTGTTTTTTTTTATAATTTATTGTTTGTTAGTTGGTATGTGGAGTGAATAAAGTCATTATAACAATGTTTTAAAAGAATATTTTGTCTCAGTGTGATTTAAATTTTCCTGTTACATCATACATTGCATATTGAAGTCGACATATCTCGAAAACAAGTAAATATAGCGAAAAACTTTATATTCCAAAAATTACTCAAAATTTAACGATCTTTCAAATGCACTGCATTTCCATGTTCCACGGATCAAAAAATGTTTTAATATCACCACTCCACCTATGCAGAAAGATTTGAACTAACAGCTCTAACTACAATTTGAAGCGATTCGAGAGACCTAACAACATCAATTTCCGGAACTAAAATAAATTTCTTCATTTCGCAGTTATTGGCAGTGGGAATCTTAAATGGCACACCCTGTATATAAAAAATATAAACTTTAGAAATTATTTTAATAAAAGAATCATTAGATCCTTTCCACACACGATTCATATTTTGAATAAGTTCAGGATGACCAAGAGCTTTCCGATCTTGAATCAGAAGATTCAGGAGTATCAGATGGCTCAGTCAGACATGAACTCTGATTATATTCCCTTAAATGAATGTTTGAAATGTTTTTTTTTTGTTACAGAGAACAGATATTTTGTTTATTTTCATTGTTTAGTCATGAAAAATTTAATAAATTTTTATTGTTCAAGTAAAATACTATATTTATGTACTTTTTGTTAATTTGTGCATGAGCTCGACTAATATGAGACCTGATGGGATTCCGATCCAGAATACATATATGCATCTTGTCAAAATATGTAATTTTCATATTCATTGAAGTTTATTCAGGAAAATATACCCAAAAGTCTGCTTTTCTTTAAAATTTCTTGGAATTTCTGTTCTTGAAAATGTTTTGCTTCGGAAAATAATTTAAAAAAGTTTTTACCCATTTGTTTTTGTTTAAATAAAAAAATGCAAAAAAATAATTTTTATAAAAAAAATATGTTTGTGTCCAAAAGTACAAAAATTTGGTTTTAATTGGCCTATAATCTGTGTCTTCTATGAGAAATAATTAGAAATATAAATGATTTTAGCTTTAGAATTTGATACGTTGTGCCAGTAATTCTTCTTAAAAAACACATAAATAACCAATCTCTTTCAAAAGTTTAATATGCAGATGGCCTTTGCCTTCGCTGTAAACAAATAATTTTTGAGTCCAAATAAATTAAGTAAAAAAGAACTTGACATTTTAGGAAACTGATTGGTGAAAAATTAATTTTAAACATATTTTTATTTAAAAAATAATTAGTGTCAGGATCAAAAAAATATATTCTCTATAGTCAAGGTATATATAAAGTTCCTTTTTCGTATAAAGTATCAAAGAATTTAATTAAGGAATTAAATGCTAGGTACTTTGATTCTTTATAATTTTCGTGTCTTGTGTGGGTAAAATTCGTTTTTATATAAGAAATTGAAAAGACAAAAAACTATTAGAAATAGTTCAGAATAAAAATTTATGTTTAAGTATGTCGCAGATTTGATGGCAATCATTTTAATTTTGCAATGATTTATCTAACAGAAAATATCAAAGTAGGCCGATATCTTTAAATTTGGTATATACACAAATTTTGATTGTGAATAACAACACAATACAATTTTTTGATGTCTTATACGAAAAATGGTATTTTGCTTGCACATAAAAGATCTATTTTACTTCTGACAAGGCAAAGCAATTTAAAAAAAAAACTGTGTTTCAAATTATTTTTAAATCATACTGGATTGTTACCCAGAATGTCAAACTTCAACTCATTTTTTTTTTTTTGGCATTGATGCCAATAGTTAAAACCTACTAAATGTTGAAAAGGGATTGGTTTTGAGTTGAATTCCAACAAAACATGAAAAACATAAAATTTAATTGGGTATACTTTAATGACCATATGTATTTTAAATAGTACTAGGAAGCAACCCTACTGTTACACACTGAAATCCTAAATATTTTGAAATATTATCGAATTTCCATTCCTGTGCTTTACACATTGTTCAAACACAATAAAACATGTTCTTGATTTTAAAAAGAGGCTCTACACAGAATTCAGTGAGGGGATCTAAAAGTAGTCAGTCCAACACTGCCTGTTACTGTTTCTTTAAAAACATGGACAATTTAAGATCAATTTACCTATAAACTCTACTCATAGCTGCCGACATATGGGATGTTCCACATAAAAGTCCTCAGCCTTGTATCTCTGTAACGGAAAGAGATATTTTTATTTTCATAAAACAGATGATAGAGCTCATCGATGGCTTCGTCAAAGAGTGCAACTTGATTTTTTTTAGAACAAACTGGAGATGGTGCTGAAGTGGAAAGAAATTTTTCATTGGCAGGAACTTTGTAACAAGGTTTATCTGATACTTTGTTCAATTCTAAACAATTTTTGTCAAATAGGACAAACGTACGTCCTAAAATAAAACCTGAGTGTATAACGAAACTTCATCACAGTAGGCTTTGAAGGAAACCAAAATTTTGTTTATTGTCACACAGAAACACAAGTTGACAAAACAGCTAATTGTATGTTATGAGAGCTTGAAATTTGGCTAATTTGAGTGAAAATATAGTTCAATATACTAATCAAGAAAAAAACAATATGCTTGTCATTTATGGTGAATGCAGAGAAAATTCCAGGGCTGCAGTGAGATTATATTCTGCACGATTCCCTAACAGAAGATGTTCAGATCAGAAAACATTTTTAAAGTTGGAGAGATATCTTTTGCAGTATGGAAGTTTTAATGTCAATAAACGTAAACGTTTAAATATGGTGACAAATGATCTAGTAACAGCGGACGTTTTACAACATGTGGAAAATAATACAGAGACAACTAACATGTCAGTTACGTCATGTCATAGGATACTATCCAGAAACAAGTTCCATCCATACAAAACACATATTGTTCACCATTTACGACCTGAAGATCCTGAAAGACGGTTAGATTTTCTATCTTGTTTCTCAGTTTTATACTAAGATGACAATAGTATTCTTGAAAAAAATTGTTGGACTGATGAAATTCGATTTCATAATAATGGTCTTGCCAATAGACACAACTGTCATTATTGGTCCAACAATAATAATCAGAGATGGACAAAAGACACTGGCAATCAAAATAAATTTGGAGTAAATGCGTGATGTGGCATACTAGATGGATATCTCATTGGTCCTCTTTTCTTTGAGGGGCAATTAACTGGTGCACGGTATTTAAATTTTTTGCAAAACGACATTTTAAATTTATTAGAAGATATTCCTGTGGCAGCAAGAAGCTATATGTGGTGCTCCTGCCCATAATGCACAGATAATTACAGAGTACTTGAACAGATCCTACCTTGGAAGATGGATACAAATGGTCAATTAGATGGCCAGCAAGGGCGCCAGATTTAATGCCTCTTGACTTTTTTTCCATGGGGGACATTGAAAGATATGGTGTATACTGAACCAATAGAAGATATGTCGGACTTTCATTCTTTACTTTCTTCTTGTGATCAGGAACTACAGAGTTGCTTTGATATACGTATTAGCAGAAATAAAAATTATTTGATAAATAGTCATTTAATAAAAATTGTTTAGATTTGAACAAAGTATCGGATAAACCTTGTTACAAAGTTCCTGCCAAGGAAAAATTCCTATCGATTTCAGCGCCATCTCCAATTTGCTCTGAAAAAAATCAAGTAGCACTCCTTGACAAATCCATCGATGAGGTCTATCACCTGTTTTATTCAAAATCAAAATATCTCTTTCTGTTGCTGAAATATGAGACTGAGGACTTTTATGTGGAATACCCGGTACCAGTGCAAAACCATGAAGCAATATTTTTTCATATAACTTTAAAACGGTCATTAGTTAGTATGTATCTTCATTTATTTGAACGTAATATATTACTAGAATACGTATGTAAAAAAGACATACAGAGGGTTATTTTTTAGGCCACCCCTTCTTTTGACTGCACCATTACTACTTATATAAATAATATAAATTATGTAAATCAAATTCTCTAATATAAAATTCATTTTTAAATATTTTTCTAGTTCTTAAAATTTTTCTAAGGGTAGTGAAGCTGTTTAAATAAAGTCTCAAAAAATAAGCTTTGTCTCATATATTTAGAAAACATTAAGAAATGCAGTTATATAAACTTTTTCTTGTTTTTATGTGTAGAATCATTGCCTCAAATATAGAAACTATATTTTTGAACAGTTTATCAAGAAATCATCAAATATTAATTTACATGAAAGAATTTTTTTTTTCGTGAACCACATTGGCATGCCTATATCTCAATTGTTGTAACAGGTAAATTGACTTATCTTCATCCAAAATATCTTTATATTTCAAAGACGCCGTTATAAAATGATGTCGAGGAAACAAAACCAAATTAATTTATTTCTTTCTGAACATCTCATTAAACACATCACATTAAATATTTCATTAAAATTAATCTAATCGAAGGTTGATTAATGAGAAATTTTGTTCTTACTTAAATTATTACGACTTTTACAAATAATATAGCAATGTTAATCTTAAAAAAAATACTTGAATTTATGAATAAAGTGTGATAAAAATGCAACAACTCGCTTATTAGGGAGCCTGTTAAAATAAGAACTATTTCAGAGAGGGGATTAACTATAATTACTGCATGTGACTTTTGCTAGACACCAGAAAAACAAATTTCAAAATAATTTACAAAAAAAATAAACTTTGATAATTTTTTTATATGAATTCCTCAATGTGGTATAACAAATTAGAATTATTCAATAATCCAGTCTTACTACCTTGGCATTTGTTTTAAATTGTTTTTACATATATTTAAAAAATATATTATAATCACAGATCAGTGTTATTTTTGTGATGGTAAATTTATTAATGTATCAGTAAGAAACATTTGAGATGTACTCGTGGGGTATTGCTGTTTATACAGAGTGTTCAAAACTTGATTCAAATGCATTAGATTAAATAAAGTAATAAAATTAAGTGTAAATACAAAGATTCTTACAAAACCGTGTAAAGTAAGTAAAAATGAAGGAAGGGTACTACTAGTGGTTAACTATCTAAATGTTATCCAAACAAAATACCGAAACAATGTAATGCAGCAGTTAAAATATTGACAAGCTATTAGTAAAAATATAAATGATACATGTACATAATATGTAAATACATAAATAATCAATGATAGAGTATAACACAATAAAACACAAAAGCAGAGGCCAATACATAAGCATTTAGCCCGGTTGGCAATTTGTCGAATTGCATTTAATTTAAATATAAGTAAGTATCTTAAGGATATTTACTTAGGGAAAAATGTTATTGTCATTTTTGTATACTCGTAGCATACCTACCTAAGCAAAAAAATATTGATATGACACTCTGAGACTATATTCAAAATAGGTACTATCTAACAGATAAACTTAATAAATTGAATAAGAATTTTTGGACAAATTCAGTCAACTTAAGTAAGGAGAATAAGGACAATATTTAAAAAATAAAATGTATTAAAAATATATTTACTTAAGTGTGCAGGTATCATTATTTTATGCTTCAAGATAGGATATCAGCATTATTAACCAAATAATTAATATTATAAGACAACTAGTGACAAACTTCATAGTTTTGATAACTATTTTCTTTACCATTCATAGTTGATCTACGCGAAAATATTTATTTATTTTTTTCAACATTGGGTACAAATACTAAGTACCTAAATAGAATTTAATAACGATATGGGTAATTCAATAAGTCTAGTGTTAGAAAATCGAAAAAGGTAATTAAAGTACAGATTTAAATATGCGGGTACATTAATTTAAAAATATCTTAAAATAGGTTTTCCACTTACAATTATGGCATCACGAATATTCTTTTTGATATCTTCTATTTTCTGTTTCTTCTCTTTTTCGCTAAAGCCATTTACATGCAGAATACGCATTTGCTTTACGATTGTCGATTTGCCAGATTCACCAGCACCCAACAAAAGAAGACGATGTGTAGCACGATACACCTGCTTCTCCTTAGCTAGCTGCCGATTAATTTGATCACTAATTCTTTTCTGAGTCCTAATGTCTTCAGATGTTTGTGCGGCATCTCTATTCCCAAAACAGCCCATGGCCGCCAGGGGAGACCACCAACAATCAGCCCCCTTATCGGCGGCCACAGGGCCACACTCTGGGCCAGACGCCACCGTGGCTATCCTTTAATAAAACTACTTATAACTTTAACGACAAGTAAATAAAATCATACTTTTAACTGTTTTATTATTACATTTTAAACATTAGCTGTTGCCTCATATTAAAGCAATTCCATAGCCATTTCTGATTTTAAACACCTAGGTTAAGTTGAACCACTTAAAATACAGCACACATGTTTATTGTTTAGGAATAATTAGAAATTGTAATTTATACACAAAAAATGGCTCCTCGATATCATCTCTTATATGCCCACGGAAACGGTGGTTATTTTTACTTAAGAAATTTCAAAAATAGACCACTGTAGGAGACAGATGTATATTGGTGTTAAACAAAATAAAGTACACAGGTACACTTAAAAATAGAACGGATAATATTTAATAGTTAGTTTAATCGCGATTCCTCTTACGGAGTTGTCAAAAACTACACAATACACCCCGTCAACTAAACCCACTTTAAAGTAATTCTACAACACATTTCTTATGGTAGTATTATATATAAGCATTATAAAGATATGCTCATCATGTATCTTTTATCCAATTTGTAAAAATTGTCATAAGTCATTTTGTACATATTTAGAAAATATGAAGATTGATTTTGTTCAAATTGACCTATGTAAAGTATAACAGTGTTGCCAGGTGCCACCCATACTGCCAACCTTTTTTCTTCTTTTGCGTCACAAGATGGCATTCGAGCTGCTACTATATACCAGGTGGCATGAAAGTATTACCACCAAAATATCTCGGTTACTATTAAAGATTGTGATTCTTCTAAATATTTTAGCTTTTTACTATTTCCTATAACAAGGGTCGGCAACTGGCGGACCTCGGTCCAGATCCGGACCGCGGAAGGTAAAACAATGGACTCCCAAATATTTTTTGAAAGTATAAATTACTCAATTAAATTATTTAAAAAATAGTTTTCTATTGATAATGATACGTTTGAGTGCCACCCTTATCATTTCTACTACAATTGCGTGATTGATTTGAGTTCTTAATGGTTAGTATAGGTAGATTAATAAATTTGTGACTGCAAATTAAATTAAAAAATTACTAAGGAATGTGTTTTTTTGTGGACTTCGTTAAAAAAATTATTATTAATTATTATNAAAGTTAATATGACGCTATGCAAGATAATTGTAATGAGAAATCGATTAATTGTGTATAGCGACTATTATTATCACTACCATAATTGTAATGTATATGTAAGTTGTGTAAATAAGAATTATTATTATTATTATTTTTTATTTTTATTATTATAGAATACAATAAGGGCCGTAACTTTTTATTTTTAAATGGCAATCCACATGTTCTTTCTTTATAGTATTACGACCTTGAAATCTGTTATTCAACAATGTGTTCATGTTTATGTAATTAAAATAAAATAATCTTTAGAAATAGAAAATACCAGGGAGGCAACCTTCTCATGTATTGTATGGTCTCAGTGGCGGAGAAGTAGGTACAATGCATTTATGCAGTTCCTTCTTTATCCCTACAATCGCCGTCAGTACTAATTTCATCACAGACTTAGAAAAAAGAGGCGATGAACGACCAGCTTCAAAAAACGAAAAATGAGAAGAAATTTTTATTTTCTACATTTATTTCAACGGAATTATTTATCCTTACAAATTTAGAGAAAATATCATTATCGCGTACCAAAGATCATTTCACGTTTTGGTAACTTACATAATAATAATATAATATATACCAGGGTACTTACATTACAAGTAGTTTTACTGCAAAAAGCCATATGCTGTAATATATACCTACTTGTACATATATCTATACGTTTGTTTTAAAGGGATAATAATTTTGCTAAAAATATGTACTTTGAAGGCGCAAGGACATAAAGATGAACATGTAACTATATTACTGCGAATATATTCCTCCATGATATAAAAAGGAATCATGATATTCCTCTACTAGGTGTTCCTTATCATCATATTCAAATTTTGAGGGAATAAAGCAGGCATAATTCTAATACAAAAAAAAACAATAGGATGGTGGATTGACCTTTGTTTCAAAGTTCGAGACCTATAATTTGCAAGTCTAGAATTTAAACTAAATAAAATCTATCAGTCAAATAAACCTAAATGAGAATAGCAAACCTGAATAGGTACCCATTAATTTTAAATTACTATTTCAAGAGTTGATGTATTATTGAGGTAAATGTTTACTGTTAATATACAAATAAAAATTGACTTGAATTATGTGTTTTTTGTCTCAAAATTTATACTCCTAAAATTTGAACATAGGTAAACAAACACCTTGTACATATATTATTACATTTATTTTAATCACAATTTAGGAAATATACACCTTAAAATTAACTTGTTTCACCCAAAATAATAAAATAGAAACTTCATACAAACAAAACATTATTCGTTTTGACATTACTCTACTATTCGCCACCAGGTGGCGTAGAAAATGCTGGAATCGCCAATTGCCATAGGGTGTGCATTGTGACTTCATCTAGTCTAGTTTAAAAAATTCTTTTTAGAGGTACCTATTAAAAATTCTGTTTTTATGTTTTACAATTAAAAATTACCGTCAAAATCTTAAATAAATACAATTTTTTAAAATTCAAAATAGAAACGACTTTATTTTATAATTAGGTCCAAAATATTTTACCCAATAATCTTTTCTGTAAAAAATTAATTATGACAAATTTGACTGATGGCCAGATCACTTGTTTAAAATTTATTAATTTTTCATTCGTGTCATAAAAAAATTTGTTGTGTGTTATTCACGTATTTAATTCAAAGAAGTAACATAAAAATTACATGTTATTTACACAGTCGGGTGAGCAAACATTTTGTGATTGTTTAGATAAATGTTAAACTAGATTCATATTCGAATTATTATTGATGCTGGTACATACAAAATACTTATTTAAACGTAAGTATCACATGTATACGTTTCTAATTAGATCTAATAACAAATGAACTTGATTTACGACGATTTAATACAGATGAATTTATTAAAAGTTGTAAATTTAAGTTTAAATTAAAAGTAAGATTTGTCAAATATAAACGATATTTTCTATGTTGACGGTTTTTGCACTCATTAATTTCCGTGCGACTTTGGTCAAAATTGAAATTGAATCGTTATTATTTATTGCATTTTAAGTCGCTTTAATTTTAAGACAGATAATACCTAATTAGCGAAATATGGGTCTGTTTGTTAAGTACCTATTTACAAGTAATTTAGAAAATCTGTCATATTATATCTGAATTTGATATGTCCATAGGGCCGCCTTTTTGACATCAAAATCAAACTTTCACAGCCCGCTCCGTTTTTGTCGCAAAAAAAAATATTTGTTTTTATAAACTCTTTTTGGCCAAATGTTATATAATTAGTAGTGTTAGTATAGTAGGTAGTATAAATATAGTATAGTTTATTAAATGCATAATTAAAAAATTTAAGTCATTATGCTGCGTAACAATAAAACTTACTACACTGTATTTGAAATCTCAATTGACTGCGGATGACCAAGGACTTGCGGTATGTAGTACTTTAATCTTCTTTTGTGATTGATGATATACCTACCAATCTAAATTTTATTGAGACTGAAAATGGTGATGTTGATATCGTGTAATATCATGAGGGTGTGCAAGATATTATTTTTTTAGAAGGGGCACAGGGAATTAAATTAAAGGAACTAACTTCTGACAATGTCAATCATTTTGGTGACTCATGTAGCTATTATGGTATCTTATTAGACACTATAATACATATAAAAGATAAGATAGATAGATTAGATGGGGAAAGTTTTAGACAGATTAACTTAATGGCGCTTGCAGACGGGTCCTAGCTCTTCAGGTTTTTGGGTTATTTTGAAAAAAGTAATAAATATGGCGTTTTCGGAAATCGTCTGTAACTTTTTTATAGAGGAATTTTTCAAATCTGAAAAAACTTTTTCACATCAAGTTTTTTCCATTGAAATCACTGTATATTATTTGCGACGTTTCGGTTGCGAGAAACCATCATCAATTTTCTTTTTTCTTATGGACGCCATATTTAATTTTAAGCTGAGCAAAGAGAGGATTTTTTTGAATTTGTATTGATCGATATAATATAAGTAAGAAAAAATTTCAGTAAAAACCTCCATAATCCATATTTTAATATTTTTAATCAATGTGGCAACACCGCATAATTTTTCGAAACAGAATAGTCCCAAATTTTTGTTATGGCAAAATATTTTAAATAACAAAATATATTTATAAATAAATTTTTATATGTATCATTTTGAATGTTTGTGACATAAAAAATAAATACGCATAAACCATAGATAGAACACTTAAAATTTCCGCCGCGGTTTGTAGGTGCCTACATAATAGTTCATCGATTAGTCTATTCAAAAATAGATGACGTCACATGCTGATGAACTGTCACAGTTGCCACCAACTGTCAGTAGACAAATTGTATTTGCCCTTTTTTATATTTTGTGCTTGTAGTATGACGGTATAATTTAAATGGATGAGTTTATAAAAAGATCTTAGTCTTAACTTAGCCATAACTTTTCATTTTTACTTCGTCATTTATGTTAAAAGTACCTACCTATCGCAATGTATTCCAGAGGCAGTAAATTGATTAAAAAGGATATCAGGATTATCAGGTGAACTGTGAACTATGTTCATTTGGTCAATAATATTCTTTCATAATTTAACATGATGGTATACTCAATGATATTTTTAAATTTATTTATTTATTTATTTATACTGCATACATATACAGACAAAGGGACAGTTCAATTACATATGTATACCTACAGTTGTGAAATGTTAGCTAATATAAAAACGAGTTAAAAATAATGTATAGACAACCAAACACATGCAAAATACAATGTAAAAAGAGAACAAAGAAAGAAAACAAAAAAATGTCAATTATAATGTACATAAAACACCCAATCGTATAAATGGTAATGTTTCTATAAAAAGAAACTTTAACCTGACCTGTTATTTTTTTTTTATTTAAACACCATGTTACCTACACCATATTTTTGCAAAAAATCATGTAATAGTTATGTATGACACCTGGTGAAGTTCCTCTATTAAATTAAAACCTGCACTACCTTGAGCATTTATAATACGAATTTAGTTGTAAATTATGTACTTATCGAATGTCGAAAAATGGCCATCATGAGCTTCATAGCCTTAGATATAAAAACAAAAATCTTACTTTCACACAAATACAAGGATTTTGCAGAACTCTGACGCATTTGACTTGTCAAGAGCAACTAATAATATTTTTCGAAAACTTACTTTTTAAGATATTTAATTTAACTTCAAATTTCAAATTTTTGTTACTATCGCCACTGGAGCGTATGCCGAAAAGCTTAATTGATTTAATAATATTTAAAATAAGCAATTAATTTAATGAAAAGCACAAACATTGGAATAATTAGTGCTGCTACCTAGTTTTAATATTTAACTATGCTAGCAAAAAAATTTGAGACAGTGGATAATTTCATAAAATACCTATTTAAGTAATTTTCGAACAAAATTGTTATATAAAAATCATGAGTTAAATGCATGGTTAATTTTACCTATTTATTTCTGGGACACCTTGTATTATTTATTCCCGTTGCAATCTTTAATGAAAAAATATCAAAATATAAATTTTATTTGTCATTTAATTGTTCGCATACCTAAGTAAAGTATGTGGCGCTTACTCTAGTTAGATACGTATGTGAAGCTACTCACATCTTTTTGATGCTAAAATTGCTAGTTACCTACCTACTAATTCTTGAATATCCGGTATTTCTTAAGCTCCATGAATGACACTATTTTTATGTGTGTTAGTAAATCAAGGACGTTCCATTGCCTTGAAAATGTATAAAAAACAATATAGGTACAATTAGGTACCTGCTTAGGTACATTAGGAAGGAGTTTATTTAAGTTCCAAGCAATGAGCAGCAAAAATGTTCGCATAGACTTTATTTGATTTTTCGTATATTTGGCAGATATAACGAAGTTTAGGTAACTTAAAAGTCATCTAGTTAGATATATATGTACAATGTGAAGCTGCTCACATCTTTTTAATGCTAAAATTACTACCTATATCTTGGATATTCCATATTTCTTAAGCTCCATGAATGACACTGTTTTTATGTGCGTCAGTAAGTCAAGGACGTTCCATTGCCTTGAAAATGTATAAAAAACAAATAGGTACAATTACCTGCTTAGGTACATTAGGAAGGAGTTTTAAATACCAATAAAGTACAGCAATGAGCAGCAAGCGGTGTTCGCATAGACTTTATTTGATTTTTCGTATATTTGGCAGATATAACGAAGTTTAGGTAACTTAAAAATCACTACTACGTATTAAAAAGATGGCAGCTTGTACATAATATCATTGTACATACTTACCTAACCATTTGATATAGCAAAGCAGATTGCAGGAAGCTACTGAAGGTCGTCAGTAAAGTGGGGAACTATGGAGTCACTATCTAATCATCGTCCTGTGGACTTCTATTATGTCTTCCTTTAATTCAGTCTCCGAGCAGTGTGCGCGAAGGGAGTTTGTGTCGCTTTAGCGAAGTTTGTGTGCGCGCAGTTTAGTGCAGCATTTCTTTATCCTTCCCGCTCTATGTTAATGAACAACTGAATTACAAAATGGCCGCTGATTCGGGAATGGAGACGTGTCCGTCACCAGAGATCGCCGATTCCAGAAAAAGGCCTCTTGACAGTGATGCAGAGAATGGAGACACAAAGCGGTCGCATTTTAGCTCAGGTAAAGAACAGCTTATTGTACCTATAGTTTCGCTTGTCCTTGTATTTATTTTTTTAGGTGTAGACAGTTATGTTCCAATTTAACACTCCGTAAATGATTTACAAATTAAGTCATCGCAGGCGGTTTACATAATTTTTGAAAATTGTTCTGAAATAGCTTTCTCGCGAACAAATGAGCTTAATTCTTAATACGACATACCTACTTAGCCTTAGTGCGGGTATCTACATGAATATTGTGTCAGATATGATGGTGGGTGTGAATATCCCGCTTTTAGTATATCTAGTTTACTGAATCAGCGGCTATTTTGTGGTGGTTTATCATTCACATTTATTGTCGAATCAATAAAAATACGAAACTCGAGAAACATAAAATTTTGTCGTCTCTATCAACTGGACTTTTTTTAAGTCGATATAACCAACATAACGATAAGGAAAATGTCAAGGTCAATTTTAATTGCAATTTTATACATATTTATAAATATACATATACACATATGCGAGTACCTACATATATACATATAGGTACCTACATATACACAGGTGCTTGTACACATCACTATATTTTTTGTTGAAATAATTTTTAAATGTAAACTGCTGCAACAATCCTATTAATTTAATACTTGACTTAAATATGCTACCACATTATACATTCCAATAAAACTACGTAACATCTACAAGGTCTCATTATATTACGTAAGCTGTAACAATATAAACTATTCAGAAATATTATTTTGGCTTTACTACTTTTAAAAACAATATATGCAGGTACATGTTATTTATTTTGTTGATTCCCTTAATAAAAGTATAACCGACAACATACCTACCTAGGTAGGTACTTACTACCTACCTAATTAACATTACGTTAAATTCGTCATGTCTAATGATGCTTTGAGTGTAATTTTAAAAGCTTAGCAAGAATCAAATCTGGGTATTAAAAAATCATCGTTATTTTGCTAATCAAAATCCATAATAATTAACGTACGAACAAATTCAGATTAATAATTTAATACGTATCTAATGGGTAGGTGCAGTTTAAGTGGAATAAAATATGTTTCAAAGGACTTTTTTTTATTGTATTTGAATAACAGTTAACATCTACCAAAGTTGCATTTCTACCAATACAATATGACATTTTTTTTCATCTGCTGGTCCTTTCAATGTCCATAATGTGTATTAGTTTCTTAATTATTGGTTTTCCATTACCATTAACCATTGACCATTGTACCATTGACAGTATAGGTATCAAATTTTGTTTATTTTAAATCCACGAGTTACATTAACGCCTAGTGAGAAAAGTTACCGAACGAATTGAAGTATTTATTTCATCTTGAGATTCTCGACTAGGAAAAACTAAAAAAATACAATTTTCTTTTATCTATTCATATACAGGGTGTCTGAAATTACATAAGCTAAACTTTGGACAGGACCAGGAAATGTTTCGAGAAATTCAGTTTTCCACAACATTATGATTAAATTTATAGGTACCTACTCCGGAAATAGTTTTTTTTTAAATGTATTCAAATCGCCTAAAGATTGTAATTGGTAATTTGGACAAAATGATAATTACATTTTTTTTTCGTTACATTTTTATCACTTACCTATTTACTTAATATCAAAAAACATATTATTTAATTGATACACTGATGACTTTTAGAATAATGTAATTACATTTTGTTTTCCACAACAAAACTGTTTTCAGGACTTGCAAGTGGAACACCTTGAATTTCGAAAACGAAGCATTTGTTTAATTTAAATCAAAATGAAAAGTTGCTCAGCAATTTTTTTTGTGCTTCCGCGTGCATTCTCTTTACTGTTGCGACCATTATAGAAAATGACATTTGTTCATATGAATGGTTTAGGTATTTTAGTTTTTTTTTATACCTATTTTTATTTATGTTTAAAGGATGTACCGTGCTAATGCAAATTTAATTAGTTTAATGTTTTAATAAAGAAAATTATAAATTTACCTAATAATTTCATTTTCCTCTCTAGAAAGGAAACATGTCACCTTCGAATCCGTTGAGCTTTGGAAAAATGCTTAATTCCACGTAAACCTAATGCTACGACAAAATTTCCCATTGTGTAAGGATTTTTTATTATAATAAAAAAAAGTATACACTTCTCACGTCTGGATGTGCAAAGCAACTTTTTTTAGATAAAGAACTCGTAAACATTTTCACATTTTTTGGTTAAATATTTTCAGTGTAGGTACCGATAAAACTGCTTGAGAAAAAAATCCCTAGAAAAACAAATCTACTAATTGTTGCATACACACTCTTATTTAATGAATTCAATTCCGGTATTTTATGTTTATACGTTTGACAAATATTTGGCAAGTGACCGGCACCATCTCGAGCCGCTTTAAGCCATCTTTGTATATATTTCAGTAGTGTTCTTTCTTCAAGATATATCGTTCACTGTGTTTTACAATTAGAGGAGTTTGTTTAATGTCGTCATATTATAGTGTGGCTCATGGGCGTAGGTAGGAGGGACAGGGTTGTGTACGGCCCACCCCAGAGCCCGGTGCCCACCCTAAAAAAAATATCTATTATCATCTTTGTCATATCGGTAAGTCGGTGACTGTGTGGACCTGTTAAAGTGTTTAAATTTTATATTGGTAAGCCGAGGTTTTTGGGTCCACCCCAAGCAAAAATTGTAGCTACGCCCATGGTGTGGCTGTTCAATAGAACATTACAGTCACCCGTGCGTCTCGGGCTCATTTTAGAGTAGGTGCCTAGAACGTCGCGTCGTTTCCAAACGAAAACGCTCTGACGTTTGTGCAGACTGGCCCCTAAAGATAGGTGGATTTAAAAAATTCGGTGAAAAAGTACTGCGAATTGATCTGACAATTTCTTTATTTAAATTGAAATAGAGACCTGTAGTGTGGGCGAATGAGACGAAATACATGTTTGTTTCAAAAATCGGGCCTAAGTGGAATTTATGAGCTTAAAATTAAGTTAAAAATACACAACAAAAACCTAAATTTGTGTATTTGTTTATGACCAAAGAAAAAAAAGTTGCTCTCTTTTTTAAGTTTTTCGCTTATAAGTATCTCCAAAAATAAGCTTCTAATCGACATGAGGTATACTTATCGATTTTGTTGGTTTGAAATGCGTATATTAAAAAACAGCCGAGATAAGGACCCTAGTTACCATTTTTTTTGGTTTGTTTTTTGTTAACTTATTTATATTACAACTGAATTTAAATTTGAAATTCACACAGAAGCGAGATCATGCAATTACCTCCTTTCGATCCTTTTTTTTCCGAATTTCGATATCTTGATTTGGGCAGAAACGCGCTCGCGTTTTCGACTTTATAATTTTGCAATAGGCCGCCAGTTTGAAATTGGGTGTCCGGATTGCGGGTATTTGTTGGCCAATGGTCACCCCAACAGTTAGTAGTTTCATCCAATTTCAGTCAAATTTGTTGTTTTTATTTAATTCTGAAAATTTTGCACTTTTTTCACTTCTAATTTTGCAATGTAAAAATAATTTTGCGAGCTTTCGTAAAAGCAAATAGCAAATTGTAGCAAATATCCTCAGAAATAAAATCGATAAGTAAGAAAAACTGAAAAAGAGAAATTTTTTTCTTTTATTATAAACAATATGACGCTCGACCTCTACAAATACACAAATTTAGGCTTCTGTTCTGTTTATTTTTTACAAAATTTTAAGCCCATAAAATTCGACTTAGGCCTGATTTAAAAAAAACTTACCCCGTAAAAATAATTTTAATTTCTCAAAAAGAACGTCCAGATGTGCACATTGCAAGCGCCCTTCAATTCTGGATATCAGATTTCTGAACACTCGACGACACAAAGCACCATTAGGGTCATTTCTTACTCAAATGTTATCTTTCAGTCAGTGGTGGTCATTTTTCTTTCAGTTAATTCTTTCAATATCGATTTCACCCAAAAAGGGTACATTCTGTCGAATATTCAATAATATTAATCCTCTTTGAGTTTGAAAGTTGAATGATTGTCTACCCATCTCGTAGAGAATAAAATATTTGGCGGATTACCCAAATTTAATTTATTCTCCTAAAAATTTCGAATGTATGGAATAAAAACCCTCATCAGAGCCTCAACTTAAGAAGCATTTCAGGCCAACGTTTGTTTGATTTTTTTCCCCCTATTTTTGGATGTAGGTTTCTACCTACATCCAAATTTATAACTAGATTCTTCTAGTTATAAAGTTTTGCAGGCTAATTATGGGACACTCTGTATAGAGGGAGGGTGAGTTACAGTTGTAAAGAATTAGAGTAAAGCTGCTTCTGATAAAGACAAATCAATTATCTGAACATAACCCGGTTACGGACCTTAAAAGAATTTTTTTGTTTAATTCCTTTATAGAAGAGGCACAGGAAGTTTTTTAGGATAGCCAAACATACGTATAAGCATGTTTTCTGCTTAAAAATAATATAAGCCGCTAAGAACATTTTAAAAATCTTATTTCTAATATAAAATTTAAAAAAATGAATATAAAATAAATAAATTGTTTGAACGTTCTGAGGAACCGTTCGGGTATTGAGGTTAGGTTAATTGATTTTTTGATCTGAGCAAGCTGTGGTTCAATTTTTTACACGTAATTATGACTCGCCCTATATAAATCGTATGTTACTCATTCGCTTGTCGCACTCATGACGATCGCGAATAATCAAAATCGACATGTTCCAACGTTTCTCCCTAAGTTACCCGACTTTTTATTAAATTTATGCATTAATTTACTGTACATGTACAGGATGTTTCAGAATAACGTACCATAAATTGTAGGGGTAATAGAATAGATAATTTGTTGTTTTCAAGATAAAGGGCGTTAAAATATTAAATATTTTAAATATGGTAAGAATATGTTTTAAATGGCCCTATATAGCCTTATTAAATCAATATTGAAGTAAGTTAAACAGGACGTTTGTTCTTCTGCAAACAATGAAAATTTTAGATTACTTTTCTAATTTTTGGATTTTTTGGAACCTTATTATGATTTTCTTATGTTACACAAAAATTATACTTTTAAAATATACTTTTTGTTTCGTTTTTTGTTCAAGTCGAGATTCAAGCAGAACGCGTACTTAATTTTTAAACTAAAATAAGTACCGTCGCATATTAAAATAATTGCAAAAAACTGGATAATCTAATAAATTCGGGGGGTTTAGAGTTTTCCACAATTATTTTGTGTATTTTAACTGTTGTGAAATTAAATAGTTTTTGCTTATTTTATCACGCGAATAGGATTTTTTTTAGGAAATATATATTTTTTTCCTAAAATTCGAGAGAACCCGAAATATTCTTGGTTCGCAGTATAAAAACTGCCCTGTGTAACTTTAGCATCAAACTCTTTAGGCTATTTAGGGTCTCTTATATACTTGTCCAACAGTACTAGGTATATCGATTACTTTTGGATGTATTGTCAATTTAATTGAAAAAAAAAAAACTTTCACGCTCTATTTTTGAAAACAAAAGACGGCAGAACAATACTTTATGGTCTGTACAGTTTGTGTACAAATTTTGTTATTTGTTCTACCCCTAGAATTTAGAAATTATCATATGTTTTCCAAAACAGATTGTATAGATACGCATATGTATATTACTGCTTTGCATTAAAGTTGTGTTAAAATTCTTGTAAACTTTGAAAATTTAATTTCAGATGGAGGATCTGATGAGGGAAACGGAATGACAGGTGAATATGCATTTTCATTATTCAAATACGTTAATAATATAAAATTTAATTGTGTATTAATTAAAAAATAATCAACATCGTAAAGTTAGACAGATTTTTCAGGAAATCGAAAAAATTACATTTTTTTTATAATCTTTCTCCAATGAAATTACTTCTTTCCGCCTTCATCAGAGCAAATCGCCTGAAGCAGCTCACAAATATACGCATATACCTATACAAAGTATAAATTTTATAAAACTATTTTAGTTAAAGATACATTTTCAGACAAATTGAAATGTTGCTTCAAAATGTGTTATTAATTTCGACGTCTTTTTATTATACAAACAAAGCCTTCCGTTACATCATTTTCATACAAGTATCACCGATTGTTGTCTGTCTGTCAATACGAATCGAACATCATATTTCAAATGCCCTTAAAAATCATTCAATTTAATGATATCGGACACATCATCATAATATGATCAATTTCGAGGTCAATTTATTTGGCTCCATATTGCAAAATAACATTTTACATCACATGCTCCTAAGTTATTCAAAAAAGGATGTACAAAAATGAAATCTTATCTATTATTACTTCGCAGAGTTCCATAACCACTAAAGTTTGGCTTATACAATTTGGGATATCCAAATTATATGAAGGATATAATTTTTGTGTAAAAATATGCTGGTGGCAAACAAGTACATATCTGTAAAAATTCATTATCTTTTATGATCATTTTCTATTTGCCATTATTTGCCATATTTCTGCATAAAAAAATGTATTAAGATTATTTAACAGATTTCGTTCAAGAAATACTATTGTTTTAACGCCCTTAATGTTTTATAACATTGACGTGAAATGGTGAATGGTGTGTAGATAATATGTATTAATGTATGTAAAAAATTAGTTTTAATTTTACTTAAGACACAGAATTGGCATTATAACATCGTAAAACCTGTGGAAAAAAACGTCACATTTCTAGAACTATTATTATTAAAAAAAAATAGATTTTCAAAGGCGTCCCTAAGGGGCATGTATCTCCTTAGGTTAGGCCCTCTAGGAAAAACTTTTATAGGGACTTGTCATGTTATTTTAACGTCCCCTGTATAAATCCGAGAGAATGCCCACATATTCTGGGACACCCTGTATATTTGATAAAATTTCGGTATAATGCCCATGATTTAATGTTTAAACTGGTCATTTATCATTATCCAGAAATGGATAAAAAAACATAAAACGCACCACAGAAGTGAGACAACCCCCAAATCCAAAGCCAAAGGCTGTGGAGAAGGGGGCTACACTTGAAAAAACGCGGACAAACATCCATTATCCATCGACATTGCCAGTGCCGACGCCAGGGATCGAACCCGGACCAGAATAGGAAGTCTGGCCGAGAAATACTTGCCACATGCTCGACCGACTACGCTAACGTGGTGATGTCCTGACACATTTTTTTTTTTGAACTGAGAATATTTCTATATACTCTCAACATTTTCCTTAAAAAAGTACTATTTGTTTATGTTTTTTTATACAAATCGGTTTGTAAACCAATATTAAAAACAATTGGTACAAGTGCAACAACTAGATTTTAATTTTGAACGAATCATTTCATGACAACTTTACTTAACTTTACCAAGTCCAAAAACTTTTAGAAATAGCATAAAACGGAAACAAGTTAAAGATTAAAAATAAACATTTATTATGCAATTGTTCGAAACGAGCTACGTGCATCATTGTGCAGCACCTCATTTTAAATACATCAGTACTTATGGGCACCTACAAGGCCTGACCTAAATCCCTTCGTCTTTTTTATGTGGGGGTCATCCGAAACAACTCATTTATTCAACACCCGTAACTGTTGGAAAACTTTTGCTGAGAATAACAGAATTGCAATTAAATTCATAATAGTTGTGGGATGTTATTTCATGAGCTCTGGAAAAAGTTTTGTGGAATAAAAAAAAATTTGCCGGGAGCTGACTTTGAACACTTGTTGAAGTGATATTTACCTTTTTCTCATCTGTAATTATTATGTAAATGCTCATATTATGTGCTCATCGTTATCTTGTTTCAACTAAACTATGACCTATCATTACTAAGGTTTTTGGACTTTTACTTACCAAAGTTAGATAGGTTAAACAATTCGTTAAAGAAATAAACTGGTTGTAGCTGTGTGTTTAAGAACTGGAAATTAAAGAGATTTATTTTATTTTATCAAAATAAATGAGGAGTGTCTTTTTAAAGAAAATATCGAGAAATAGTATTTTCAGTTTGATATCATTTATCAAAAATGTATTGGGGCCGGACCATTTCTGGATGAAAATAATGAAAAATCAGTTTTAACATCAATCCCTCTGCAGCAGCAACAAATTTTTTGTGGGTGTCGCTTCACAAATCAGGATTTAGCAATTAATTGTCTCATGAATTTATTACAATTTAACAGAGGAGAATAACGATGGTTATTTTTTTATTTTATTTTTTTTTTTAGGTGGCGATGGAACATTTCACTTTAAAGTGTTGGTACCCAGTATCGCCGCAGGTGCGATTATTGGTAAAGGCGGGGAGACAATCGCGCAGTTACAAAAAGAGACTGGGGCTCGAGTGAAGATGTCAAAATCGCACGATTTTTACCCAGGTATATTTTTCCGTATGCTTTACGTTAATCCACAACTGAAATTTCCTTAACCATTAAATTAAACGAGGTAAAATGATCAATTGTTACGAAAATAGATTTTAATAAAAATTCAGTAGTGTGGACTGATACATCCAGAATGATTGGTGGCGCTGCTACTTACAATTATTTTGTGTGCCGCTCTCCTATTATTTTCACTCTTCCTAGTTGGCAACACTGATAGTGATTTACTTCGTTCATTGGCGGATTAAGTGAAGCGGTAATAGGGTCACATATTCGTTGTAATCTCAAAAATACAATACAAAAAGCAGAATATTGGCATTAATTAATTTGAGGGGTTTATTAATTTGTTAAAAGAATGGATTAAATAAAAACGATTTAGATATTATTATAGTTAAACTCAAAACTAACATAAAAATCGATATTAACAAATCTATATCTTGTTTTTCTTACGTGAACTTTAAAGTAAAATCAACAATTTTTAGGAGAAAACGGAAAGTAATTTTGATCAAATGGAAATAAATTTTAATATCTTTGGTAACATTTATGACTGACGTCAGCTTCAATCATTCTGGATTGCTCGGTATATTTTATAGTTATTATTAAAAAAATATTCATATTTAAGTATATCTGCTTGAAAGGGAAAACTATTCAAACAACGCTTATATTTTATTTGCATTAATTAAAGATGTTTTAATTTTAAAAATTAAATTTTTCCGAAAAATTATACACAATGTGTCATAAGTTTGATTGCCATTATTTTAGCATAAGATAGATCGAGCATAAGTGAACAAAAAAGTTGTTCATGAACTTAGTGATAATTTTTTTCTGGATACTGGTTGGATTTAGTTTAGATTATCTTAAAAAGTTTCAATTAATCGTAAAATGTCATTTCAATTATTAATTACCCGTTTTATATTAAAATTCTAAATTTCAGTCCAATATAGATCGTGATAAATTTGCAGTTTGTGAAGCCTCATAACCGGAAATGTTTTACTTTGTAAAATTTTCATCAGTTTTGAAAAACATAAATTCAAGACGAATGTAGACTGTAGATGCATTAAAGAGTATCCGTTTTAGGGACGACAGAGAGAGTGTGCTTAATTACGGGAAGTGTGGATGCCATAATATCTGTTTTGGAATTTATAATGGAGAAAATTCGAGAGAAACCCGATTTGACTAAAAGCGCGGTGGATTCTGATAATAAATTAATGCAAGAGAGAGATAAGCAAGTGAAAATTTTAGTACCTAATTCGACGGCTGGTATGATCATTGGTAAGGCGGGTAATTACATTAAGCAAATAAAAGAGACGAGCGGTTCTTACGTACAAATATCTCAAAAAGCGAAAGATGTGAGTCTCCAAGAAAGATGCATAACTGTGATAGGTAAGTTCAAATTGGTGAAAAATAACCACTTCCGAGCGCTTTACATAGCATACCTTTTGGATTAGATCATTGTTTTTCATTCATTCCATTTCAAACTAAACAAATATGTGTGTTGAAAAATATCATCTATTAAAAATTTTGCCTATATCCAGCCCATCTTATATAAAAAAAAAAAATAGGTAAATCTGATAAAATTACTATTTTCTTTAACTTTCCGTAACTTACCGGATAATTCTGTAAATACGATAGACCTCGTTTTATTAAATTATGCCCTGATTGACTTTAAAAAGATAAATTGAAAATTGTTAAATGTTTACGGGACTTAAAACGTATTTCATGGATATGCAGTGTCGTTGCGTTATAACATTTTTTAGAAGTATCGATTTATAATAATACGTTAAATAAGCGAAAATTAAAATTGAATGAACACTGTAATCTTCAGAGTAATTCTAACATTTTCAAAATGGCTGTGATGGATAATTTAAAATTTCGTAATATTAAACCACTACATAACTTGATATAAAAGAGCTAAAGTTAAATATGGGAAAACCCGATGAGGGTCTCCCTAAAATAAATAAAAGAATTCAAATATGCAATAAATGAGGAGCATTCCATTGAAAATAACAATGTTAATGCCAATTTCTTGTACAATATAATCTGAACTACAATATTTATGAAAATGTTTCCATTGTAAAAGTTGGACACGGCTGTTCAGGCAGATACATTTTTAGGAAAAAAATCACCACAATATAATCTTGTAATAAATTAGTTACATGAACAACTGTGTATATAATTAAGTGTTCTAGTCATATGAAATGTTGTCCTTCTGTGGGTGAGATATAACCTATAAAACCTATAAGTAAATTATACAGGGTGTTATGAAATTCGCGGACACGGACTGTGTGATCATGTTAAGCCAGATAAGGTCATAAAAAATGTCTTTATCATTTTTCAATCAGACCGATATTTTTCGAGATACGGCCGTTCTAAATATCTAAAAATAATAAAAATTTTCAATTTTTAATCATTTGATAAACAATTATGACAAACGAATTATTCAAAATTTCCACCATCTGCTGCTAAACATGCTTCAGCAGGTTCTGCTACTGCTCGAACGGAGTTGCGTACCATCTCTGGCGTTATTTGTGTATTGTTTGAAATAGACGACTCTGTAGCGTGTTTATAATGTGCGTCAAAATATGATTTTTATGCACGATCACGCAGGTGCCCATTTCGCATTAATTGTATGTGATTACTTAATATTATAATACTTTTCCTGGATGTTGGCTTGGTAGAGGTAGTCCATTTGCTTGGCCAACTTGTTCTCCAGACCTAACGCCATGAGATTTTTTTCGTTTGGGGCTTCCTAAAAACATTGGTGTATAGAACACCAGTGGCAAATTTGAATGAATTGCAGAACCGCCTATTTCAATCAGTACAGCAAATAACACCAGAGACGATACGCAACTACTTTCGAGCAGTACTATAACGTGCTGAAGCATGTTTAACAGCAGACGGTGGAAATTTTGAACAATTGTGGTAACTCGTTCGTAATTGTTTATGTAATGATTGAAAATTGAAATTTATAGTTATATGTATATTTTTATTATTTTTGCATATTTGATACTGCTATATCTCAAAAAATACTGGTCTGATTGAAAAATCATAAAGACACTTTTTTATCACCTTATCTAACTTAATATGACCCCACAGTCCGTGTCCGCGAATTTCGTAACACCCTGTATGTCATATCTTACTCTACTTATGATTATTTTGTACCTGTATCTGTATTTCGCACTAGGCCAAACTTGTTCAGTTCATCGCATATTTCCAGTGTTCACTCACAACTTGTTTTAAACTGTTCATTAAAATGCAACATTTGTAATTTAATATACCGTTAGATTCTTCAACTATTTACTATAGTAAAATGTAATTAAAATTAGCTTTGAAATTGTTTTTTGTTGCAAAATTGAATTTTATTGGTGCGTATTGGGGCAGTTAGTTTTACGTGTATTAGAGGTTTGTGAAATGTTTTTGGTTTTTTTGAAGAACATTAATTCGGGATAGGAAAATTATGGGAAAATCAGAAAGTTTTTTGTGCTCTTTGTGTTCTTAAAATATCATAATGTATCTTTCATTATTTGAAACGTTTCTCATTGTGTAAGTGGTGCTTTGTTGAAGATTATTCATTCACCTCGTATTTAGCACACCTGCCCGTAAGGTAAGTATGTACTTTTTAAACGATATTTGGATTTTGCTTACTGTGAAATGATCTTCATTCACTCCTCAAGGACCTTCTTACTATGTTTCAACAAAGTGAAGTAAAAAAAAGTTAGTTTATATCAGAGGGCCTAGTACATACATCATGTATGGAAAAGACCTTGCTTCATTGGTAACGTTTGAAAGAGAACTAGAAAATGTTTCAAGAAAAGCCGTTACCGCCAAAGAAAAAAGAAAGAAATAGCAACAAATGGAGCGAGACGTTGTAGAACATGGATATTTTTGGTTTTAGTCATTGTACTGTCAACTGGTCATGAATTGTGACGTCTGTAGAGTCTGAAGAAGTGAAAATTATTTGGGAAATACACAAAAGGTTATTTTTGGTGAGTTACTTTTAAAAATAATTGGAGCGTTTTGTTTTTTTTTATTAAAATTTGACTGTTATTTATGTAATAAATATGTAAAAATGATGCATTATTCAAGACTTAAAAATTATAATTTTCTAGATCCATAAGCTTATGCAATTTTGTTAAAATAAGTTGTGTATTTTGTTGCCACTATTTGTTAACTAAGTAATACTGTCAATACCAGTAATGTAAGTGTTACTGTAAATAAGTATTTATTATACAGTGCCTTCATATATGCCCCACATCCACGTATTTCTGTGCTTTGCTACAAATTAATCTTTGTTGAGTTGAAAAAAATTAAATTAAATAAAACACTGAAATATTTTATATTTTATTATTTTCGTTATCTTTGAATGAATGGATCAAAAAAGCCTAGGTATATTTTTTAAAGGACAACCTTCTTCAATCAAAATATACTTTTTGATTATAGAATGGGATAAAAATTCAAAATATCTTAAAGGAGTATTATTGTTTCGTAAGTAAAAATGTAAAAATGATTCTTTTCTATTGAAAAAGAAACACATTTTGCAGTTCAATGTTTGTAAATGATTGTAATATGTACTGCACTGTCTTTAGGGAATTTTGTGTTAATTGTTGACTCCATTGTAAGTTTGGTTGCCTAACAGTCGTATTCACGTGGGACTCGGACATTTATGAAGGCGCTATTAGTACCGTACTTTATTACATATACAGGGTGTTTGGAAAAGTTTGTACAAAATTTAAGGGGGTGAAAGTAGAGCCAAAAATAGTAAAAAAGTTCCTATAAACATTTGGTCCTCCAGAGCACCGTTAAGAAAATATGGCCCTCCAAAGGGGTCTTATCATTTAAATATTTTTTAAAATAACTTTCTGATTAAGATAATGGAATGAAAATTGTAGGTAATAATTATACCATAAGGGTCTTTAACTACCATAAGTTTCATCAAAATCGGTTATAAATAAGGATAGTTTTATAACTACTCTTAACAGAAATTTTTCGAATTTTTTTTATTCCTTTGAATTATCAAGCAAATAATATTATTTTTTAATGAATTAGACTTTTTGAAGAAAAAATGTCACTACTTATTTTTTCGAATTTTGCGTAGTTTAGTCAGAAATAATTATTTTTTAAATAATGTATGGCTCAGAAGTCACTTTTTTTTAACATTTTCACATAGTAGGCATCTTTCATAGTGACAGTTTCATTGCAATGATACTAATGATTGTCACTTTCGCGTGCTATCGTTTAAATTCTTATGTTTCTTTATTTTCTTAATTATTGTGATCTTTGTGCTCAACTGTGCATTTCATTAGTTTTTTTTACAACCACATGCTTTTACTAACCGTGAATATACCGATGTCTATTTTATTTATGGTTTCTGTAATGGAAATAGTCTGGCGGCTCAAATAGAGTATCGGCATACTCATGGTTAGTAAAAGCATGATGATTCATGGTCGTAAAAAAAAACGAATGAAATGCGAAGTTGAGCACAAAGATAATAACTAAAAAAATAAAGAAACATAAGAATTTAAATCATAGCACGCGAAAGTGACAATCATTAGTATCATTACAATGAAACTGTCACTATGAAAGATGCCTACTATGTGAAAATGTTAAAAAAAGTTACTGTTCGGAGCCATACATTATTTAAAAAATAATTATTTCTGACTAAACTACGCATAATTCGAAAGAATAAGCAGTGACATTTTTTCTTCAAAAAAGTCTAATTCATTAAAAAATAATATTATTTCCTTGATAATTCAAAGGAATAAAAAAAAATTGAAAAATTTCTGTTAAAAGAGTAGTTACAAAACTATCCTTATTTATAACCGATTTTGATTAAACTTATGGTAGTTAAAGACCCTTATGGTATAATTATTACCTACAATTTTCATTCCGTTATCTTAATCAGAAAAAAAGTTATTTTAAAAAATGTCCAAATGATAAGACCCCTTTGGAGGGTCATATCTCCGTAACGGTGCTCCGGAGGACCAACGTTTATAGGAACTTTTTTTACTATTTTTGGCTCTACTTTCCCCCCCTTAAATTTTGTACCAACTTTTCCAAACACCCTGTATAAAATATTAAAATACACACATTTGTAGTATATTATTGTTCCCATATTATTTATTAAATTTTTAATTATAAATTACAGTTGTTTATATTAGAAGATACAAAAACACCTAGAAACCGTTAGAAATTTCTTCAGTTTGGTCCAATTTCCTACTCTCTATGTGAGTAATAAAATAACAACATTTATATATGTACCTCGATGCTTAAGAAAACGTTTTATTTTGACACATATTTTTTAAATTGGACAAATTCATATATCTTCAAAAACAAACACTTTATTTTTTCTCCGAATCACTTTTTGCACGTGTTACAAGTGTAACTACCTGTGGCTGTCTCTATAACTTTTACGGATAAACAAAATATAGACAAACTTAAATGAAATTTGTTATAATGGAATGCTTTGCCAACTTAAAATGTTCTTTTATTTTCTTATTGTGTATTACTTGGTACTTATATTGCATTTTTGGATTCTTTGTAGAATTTAACAACCACATCCCATTTATTCCTCATTTATTTTCATATAGAACATTGTCACCTCTTTCATACAGTTAATAGTTATCGTCTATAATTTTAAACAGGCTTTATATCGGAAAAAGTTTGCTCCTTAGAGATTAGCTGCTGTAGAAAAGACAAGGTAAAGTTGAGTATACAGATAACGTTAATTATGGTTGTATCTCATCTTTAGGGAGTAAGCAAACAAATTTTCTTCAATATTCCTTAATAATCGACAGTAGGTCGCAAATAATTAGTTAAATTGAAAATTCACCACAAAGAGCCATCTTTCTTGTATCATCTTCAAAACATAAATCATCCGTCTCAATTTAATTCATAATTGACAAAAAACAGTGTTTTTCAGGGTACTTCTGAAAACAAACTTAGATAATTGATTAATTTTACAATTTTCAGGTTTATCTATTTTGTATAAATATATATATAAGATTCTGGATAGGCACAAATTACTTCAAAGAAACGACGTATGACTATCCTCTCGGAGAATAGGTTACTTAATATTTTAAAATTTTATAAAATTATTTGACGTTGAACCATTTTCAATTTGGATTCCTCAGAAAACATACGACATTACCTGCAGGTATTAAGACATTTTTTTGAATTTGAATTGAAGAAAGTATTTAATCGTCATTGAAAATGAAAAGGTGCCTTTGATTTGTAGGTGAGAAAGAACAGAATAAACAGGCATGTTTAATGATAATAGGAAAAATAGTGGAGGATCCACAAAGTGGGACCTGTCTGAATGTGTCATATGCCGACATCAGTGGACCCGTAGCAAATTTCAATCCTACCGGATCCCCTTTTGCTCAGCAGCAGGCAAGCAATGCCTTCAATGCGTCCACTGCTAGTCTCAATAGCGGTCTCGGTACAGTCTCTCAAGGCATAATGCTTAATGGAGGACTCAATCTCAGTCTTAACCTCACGACCCCAGGCCAAAATATTACAACCATAACAGCACAACTGTTAGATCATATAAAGGTACCTATATTTTTCATAAATGTAATATGTTAATGCATACATACAACGAAAGTCACTAATTTTGAATAAATTCTGTATGTCAAACACGAAATTTCAATGTACAGGATGTTTATTAAGTGTTTGTACAAACTTTAAAGGGTGAATCTTTGACTAATGTTAAGATAAAAAGTTTATATTAACATAAGTCCGCAAGGGCTTGGTTTTTGAGATAGAGTCCAATTTTGAGATAGAGTCCAAAAAAGATTTTTGTTTCAGTAATTATTGTAATTAACTTATTTGTAGAGGTAGTTTGCTCTGTTTCGTAAATGATCTAAGTTTGACACATCGCAATACAATCAATAAAAAACACATTTTGTCACTTGTTTTTCAAAAACTCTTAATGATTCAGCTTACAAAATTCCACAGAAGGTTTAACTTTAAACCCGTTTTTTTACAAAACGGCTGCTTTCAGTGACAAATACTAAGTGTACCTTTTGTATGCAAAATTGAAATGGAGAATAGGTGATAATACTCCTAGTTTCCCGAATTTCGTCAAATTGCCATGTTATTGAACAAAAATATAATGAAAATACCATACAAAAATTGTTTTTGAACACTGTATCAAGAACCAAGCCGTTGCGAACTTTTTATCTCAAAATTAGTCAAAGATTCACCATTTAAAGTTTGTAGAAGTTCTTGATAAACCTGTAAAAAATTCAAATAAAACAAGGCCAAATTCAAATAAAACAAGGCCAAATATTTTTCTTGAAATTATTTGCATATAAATGTTGAAATAATCATGTTTGAAAATGATTTTAACACAGGTTTCTAATCTCCCATTTTAGTTTGAATATTTTTTTTTATTACACTAGTGAGCCATACCTATTTGTAGGGTGGTCCAGATTTTAAGACGGAATCTTTGATAGGGGATCTGGCAAATTCGATTAATTCCTTTATTATAATATCATTGGGATATCTACAAGTAAAGTGATCTGTTATAAAAATATAAGGAAGGACCGGCCATTTTAGAATTCTTTTTTTCTCTATATCAAATTGAAAGTAACTCTAAAATTATTCGTTTTGCCAAAACAATTTATATAAAATTTAAAAAATTGGTGACATTTAAATTATTTATTTTCTAGGGGTGTAGTTCCTAAAAATGTAATGAAATAAACTTTTGTCACATTGCCTTGTATTTCGTAGACCGTTTTTGTGGAACGAATAATTTTATACTTCGCGGACGGAATTATGGACAGTGACTCAGACATAATATAAAAACACTATTACTATAAAGCGTATAAAATATAAAATTTTATAACAGTTCAATATTTGTCTTGTATTAAATGATGTGCCACTCTCTATGTACACCGATAGGATCTATAATCGTCTATAGACTGAGTTACACTGAACGTCAATCTATCTTCTATCTCTGTCTATTGCACTGAATAGGGAATAGGGAAATGCTTTCTTAGTGGATGTAAATGGACGTACGTAGCACTTGATTTAGCTGTCGTTAGAAATGCCATAGAATAAGCATAACTGGGAAATTTTAAGATGTAATAATAATTAAAATGGATCAAAGTGCAGCAAACACTGTATTGCTCATAAATGCGATGGCATCATTTTATAGAAAACACTTAAAATTTAAAAACAAAATTTTGTTAAAATATTTTTTAATAGATGTTATGTTTTATTATCTTTTTTCCATATTTTCTATATCTTGGTGTCTTCTAAACTGACATGCCCTGCACACTTCATCCTCCTTACTAGTTCAAGAGCTAGCGATGAGTCAGTCTCCATAATTTCAAATAGAGTCCATTTTGATATACATATTTAACTGTGTTGCAAGTTCACTTTAATACATATTAAAAATAATCAGGACTTTAATGTACGTAATAGGTACATCTTTTTTCTTAAAAATTCCATTGGTACTAAAAGGCATTAATCGAATTTGCAGACATCTTTAGCATCTAATTTCTGAGACTCAGTGGCTCAAGTTTCATAAGTCTATATCAGACATCCTCAGGGATATTTTAGATAACATGATTTCGAAAACAAACTGAAAAAATGAACTTTAATAAACTTACAGGCAGAACGCAAGTGGCATATTTATTAAATATATTTTTTAGATGCAATTGAGGAATTCAGGATTTTCTGATACTCAGGTAGCAGAAATATGTGCAGCAGTGACAGTGTTGGCGAAGTATGGCATTATTGCCGTGGGGCTGGGCATAGGGAGCGCACATCCCGGGGCCCTTCCCGTTTCCAATTATCTTAATATGATGGATCAAACCGGTGCGGCAAATGCCAGTACTGGCGTGTTTGGGCCCATAGGTCAAGTTAGTTTAGGCGATTGCATAGGTGAGCAAGAAAATTCACCACACGTGGCTTACTGGCACTTTGTTATCGTGTAGTTTGTGTGCTCGAATCAAAATCGGATTTTTTTTTTTTTTTTTTTTCAGGTGCCAATTCCCCCACTCCGAGAACTAATCTGGAAAGATACGATTCTGCGTTCGATCCCTTCCGCCATCAGAATTCAGCGGCTACTGCTCCGATTTCATTAAATAATAACAGTTTCGGTCTAGGTACGGGACAACAGATGGCTGTGCTTAGCAAGAGTCCCACTCCGGCGGAACTGAATGCCCCTAAAGATACTAAAAATGTGGAAATAGCGGAGGTCATCGTGGGTGCGATCCTGGGTAAGTATTTTAAAGTTATTCAATATAAGGTGTGTCCACGGATGGAGTTGAAGAGAGGGAAAAAATCCATAAAAAGAATAAAATATTGAAAACTCGCATATATACAGGGTGTGCCATTGAACACTCCCGCTGCCAATATCTCCAAAATGAGGAAATTTATTTTAGTTCCAGTAATTGAGGTTGTTAGGTCCCTCGAATTGCTTCAAATTGTACTTAGAACTGTTAGTTCAAGTCTTTCTGTATAGATCGCGTGGCGATATTAAAAAAATTTTGATCCCTGGAGCGTGGAAATGTAGTCCATCTGAAAGATTGTTAAATTTTGAGTAATTTTTGTAATATAAATTTTTCCGTATATTTACTTGTTTTCGAGATATGTCGACTTCAATATGCGATGTATGATGTAACAGGAAAATTTAAATCACACTGAGACAAAATATTCTTTTAAAATGGTGTTATAATGGCTGTATTCACATCACATACTAACTAACAAACAATAAATTATAAAAAAAAGAATGATCAACTGCAGAAAAAAATATTGTACAATGGTAAATCTTATAAGGGCCAGACGAACCGTATTTTATCAAATGTTATTAAAAAATGCAGTCATAGGTGGTTCATGTCATTTGTTTAAAATAAAACATGTATGGCAGATGACACATATTAGTTTTCCAATAATTACAATTTTATCAACTTGCGTTTTTCAGTTTAACTATACTAGTTATAAGATTTACCATTGTACATTTTTTTTTGTAGTTGATCATTTGTTTTTTTATAATTTATTGTTTGTATGTTATATGAATAAAGTCATTATAACAAAATTTGAAACGAATATTTTGTCTCGGTGTGATTTTTTTTTGTCTCGAAAACAAGTAAATATTGGGAAAAACTTTATATCATAAAAATTACTCAAAATTTAACGATCTTTCAGATGGACTGCATTTCCACGTTCCAGGGATCAAAAAATTTTTAGGTTTCGCCGTGCCATCTATACAGAAAAATTGGAACTAACAGTTTTAACTACAATTTGAAGCTATTCGAGGGAACTAACAACACCAATTTCCGGAACTACAATAAATTTTTTCATTTCGGAGATATTGGCAGCGGGAGTGTTAAATGGCACACCCTGTATATGCATATATAATACTCGATAAACTATTTAAAAGACACTACTTTCTCAAATCTCAATTTATTATACAAATTGTCTCAAAAGGTTCAAAATATTCGGAAATGTGATAATATTTGACTGCCGTTAACCATCAGTAGAGTCGCGCCACCTGTGCGGTTATACATATGTTTAGGTTATGGTTGTTGAAAAGTGTCAATAATCATCGAAGCTTATTTACTTGATGATTCATGGTGTTGTTACACTTTGTAGCTAACAATTTTTAATATTTGCTTTGGCTGAAGTTGAATGAGTAATAAAAAAAGTTTTCCCTTCCCTCTTTTGAACACCATCCATGGATATACTGTAATACTCTCTTATTGTTGCAAATGTAAAATGTCTTGGCTTAGCCTCGTGCGGTCATATACTTACGTATTCCAATTAAGTAAATAATTGTACATGGCTGTGAGAGGCACACATTTAGGAAAGCGGAAGTATTTCATGATGGAGGAGGATGAAGTTCGAAAATATACCTTCTATTTGGAGTATTTGCAGCAGCAACAAAATTAAACCTCAAATCACATGCATGAAATTTGCAGCAACGCGTTTATGAAAAACGTGTATCATTGTTTGCTTCATTGGAATGTGTAAAGTGACTGCAGTTTGGTGTCGCTTTACTACCTTATTATGTAAAAACAACTTTTAATGCACCAAACGATTAAAACAAAACAAATCGTTTAGATTACTTTTGCGATATTTGGGTAATAAATTATTTAATGGAAAACTTGCCAGGTCCCCTCAGAAATATAAGTAACGTATAAACGAACTCCCATTCTGGCAGAACCGGTTTTTTTATAACTTACGTTGCCTAATTGCAGGTTATGCCACCATGGGAAAGTAGTCAACTTAAAAGAGTGTAATAATGTTGCGATTCACAAAGTGTATCAATTTCATCACCTTAATTCTAAATTTTCCAATAGTTTATTTTGGTGTGTGTGTGTGTGTGTGTGTGATTTTAACACGTCGTGGCATTTTGTATGTTCTGCTAGTTATTTTTTAAATTAAATATTAAGAAGAGTAGGCATTGCCTTAATAGTGATGCTTAAACGTTCCATGATACAGGGTGTTTAGGAGATGGTGGCAAAATTGATCAATTCCATTTGCTTCAATTAATTTCTAAATCTGTGTTCAAACACAGATTTTCAAATCTATCGACTTCGCGATCGTTATGTGTGTTGTCCAACACAAAATTATAATTCTGATTGCACCATTAATGATTTGGTCGCACCTAACTTAGTAGCTCAGTAGCGTAATCTAATCTGGGGCCCTGCGGCAAGACAATTGGGCCACCCTCCACCAAAAGAAAATTTAATCGCCAATAGTGTATTTTGCTACAAGAGATGAACATGCCAAAAAAATACAGCATCTTGAATAGGAAATGCTATTTTCTACTCGTATCGTATATGGGAAAATAAGGATTTTCTTACGGTTTAACCGATGCGAATGTGGCATTTTTTTATAGTCCTTTCTCTGAAAATATCAAATGATTTTCTTAATTATGTAATATGGTCATTATTATGTAATTATGTAATAGCAATTGGGACAAAGTAACAAAATGTTACTTGTCACGCTAAAGAATAATTCATAATTTGAGGTGTAACAAACAGTTTATTTTGGATTGTACATAAAATTAAAAATTACAATTGCAATTACGCATGTATGTGTAGAAATAATAGCTTTTCCTACTCGAGGCGAAATAATTTATTTTGGCATTTTCGTTAGAGTTGTTCCAGATGTAAGATTTTCGATATTCGCGAATACGAGTATGGGAGTATTAACGGCGTATGTATAAAAAATTAGATTCTAAAACTAAATAAACCCATATCAGTTTACAGAAGAGTTAAATTAACAGGGGGAAATACATTTGACTCAATATATGAAGGAAGTTATACAATTTGATAAATATTTTGAAATATTATTTGTAATTAAAAACGGTAAAATGAACTACAATTGAAAATTTATTGGTTATTTAAACAAAAAGAAAAAAAACATATTTTGATTGTACCAGTTTTATGTTTCGTGTCAAATAAAATGTTTTTACAATTGTAGCCGCTCACAAGAAGTCCCTGGACAAATCGGACCGCCGCTCTTCGACCTAGGTGCCGATACCGATCGAGATCGAGTCAGTCGATGACATGCCGGCTAACTGAATACACTCGTTCTCTCTCCCTATACTTCTTAAAAAATTACTTCTGTTTATTAAAATTAGTGAACCTACAAAACAAACGTTTCTTTAATCCGTCTACCAAACAAGCCATTGTACACATTAAAAATAAAATTGACTTTTTTTTATAAAGAAATGGTATTTTTGGCAAAAATAAAATTTTCTTGAAACATGAAACCTCTTTTCTTACAAATCTTCCTTGTTCGTTTACATATTCGCATTCGTTAACAACAAATTGTAATGAATGAAAAAGCGAATGCAAGTTTAAAAATTGATTCAAATAATTCGCATACATTCAGAACATCCCTAATATTTATATCTTACTGCAAAATTTAGTATTTTCTACTCGTACAGGGTGCTTCATGAATAATTTTGTATAAACTTAAAATTTCAATCTGTTTTCGAAATTGCTAAAGCAACAAAGCTGTATTATTTACCAAAATATAATCAGCAGTGTCGATTATCAGAAAACTTTTTTTGGTCAGGCACTTCCAAAGACTTTGATTTTTAAACTGAAACAGAAACTTAATAAACTTGAAAGTTTAAACCTGTATAAAAAAAATCTGCATTATAAATTGATTAAATTTCAGGTATTAGATTTTAATAAAAAAATATTTTTAAAGTAATTTTCCGAAAAATTTCTTCCAAACAACATTTGCCGCGGGCCAGGATCATGGACTATGAACCATGAACCATGGATCATGGATCATGGACCATGGAACTGGGTTGCCGTAACTGGTTTAACAAGTACATCCACTATAAAAGTTGAAAAAATAATTTTTTTCAATATCTATTGGTGATAAATGGTCTATAATATTCCGTAAATTTTCTTGCTTTACTGAAATAAATGCATTCCTTCAAAGTGATAATCGTGGATGTGAAAATAAGTAAATTTCATTAATCAACCTGCTGGCTAGTCGTATTTTCAAAATAAAAAAAAATATTAAATCGTTCATGTTCTATAGTGTGCATGTAGCAATTCCAAGAATTATATTGGAATCATCTTCTATCTTTGAAATAAAACAACATAAATCGGGAGCTATAGTTGACGAGAGCAAGTGCTCTGCAAATAACCACACTGAACTTGACCTAATCCTGCATTGTAAACAGTTGATTAAGTGGGGCAGTGCAGGGTCCACCTATATTTCGTGTAATAATTCTTGATTACTTTTCCGGACTTTAGACCACAGGTTGCTTAATGAAAATTGTTTATTTTCACGCCCTCTATTATCTCTTTAAAGGAACACGCTTATTTCAGAAACACCCTCTGTATTTTGGGATGTTATATGGAAGAAAGAATGTTAAAAAATGTGTTTTCACATCTTTGAATAATGGAAAGCCTTTTAAATAAAAAAAAACATATTTATTTCGAAAACTGTTTGTTGTATCGATAATAAACAAGTATGCCTTTTTCACTTAAAAAAGTACAAAAGTTTAAAAATGGCCACAAAAAATAATATGGAAGTAGGTCTATAAATTTTTTCGGGTTCCAAACCTACGGAGGGCCTTTTGCTCCCAGGCCCCTAAAGTACATATTAGTAAATTGAATATGCTATCAGGAATAGTTTCAGGTTATATAAGTTTTAACCAAAAATTATCCAAATTTAGTGAGAAACAAAAAAGGTAAACAGTAAATGAGTTATCAACTTTCAATAACTAATAACTTTGCAGTGTGAGCCATTTAACACTCCCGCTGCCAATATCTCCAAAATGAAGAAACTTATTTTAGTTCTGGAAATTGAGGTTGTTGGGTCCCTCGAATAGCTTCTAATTGTAGTTAGAGCTGTTAGTTCAAATCTTTCTGCATAGATGGCGTGGCAATACAAAAAAAATTTAAGATCCCTGGAACGTGGAAATGAAGTCCATCTGAAAGATATTATTATTATTATTATTATATAACGAAAATCTATTATTTTATCTAAATCACATCGAGACAAAATATTCTTTTAATATATTGTTATAATGACTATTCACACCACATACTAACTAACAAACAATAAATTATAAAAAAACAAATGATCAACTACAGACAAAAAAATTGTACAGTGGTAAATCGTATAACTAATATAGTTGAATTGAAAGACGCAAACTGATCAAACTGTAATTATTGGAAAACCAATGTGTTATCTGTCATTGTTTTGTTTTAAACAAATGACATGAGCCACCTATGACTGCATTTTTTAATAACATTCGATAAAATACGGTTCGTCTCTGCCCCTTATAAAATTTACCATTGTACAATTTTTTTTTCTGTAGTTGATCATTTGTTTTTTTTATAATTTGATGTGAATAAAGCCATTATAACAATATTTTAAAAGAATATTTGGTCGGTGTGATTTAAATAAAATAATAAATTTTCCTGTTACATCATACATTGCATATTGAAGTCGACATTTCTCGAAAACAAGTAAATATTTGGAAAAACTTTGTATTACAAAAATTACTCAAAATTTAAAGATCTTTCAGAATGACTGTATTTCTACGTTCCAGGGAACAAAAAATTTTTTAGTATCCCCACGCCATCTAACAGAAAGATTTGAACTAACAGTTCCAACTACAATTTGAAGCTAGTCGAGGGACCTAAAATAAATTTCTTCATTTCGGAGATATTGGCAGCGGGGGTGTTAAATGGCACACCTTGTATATATAACCGTGATGTTATTTTTTATGTCTTACCCAAATGCCATATACCTACTATGCCATATACCATTCCCTGGACACCCTGTATATTTGATCTGTAAATGTTACAAAAACATGAAATCGAGGAGTTTCGAGGTTTTATAATAACATATAAGGAAAAGATACTTTATTTTTGCGTCCCTTGTAAAACCAGTCTCAGCTGACGTATGAGGGTGTAGAATTAAGGTGACGATTGGCACTTTGCACGCAACACTTCTTATTTGTCCCTTTTTATTGATGCAGGACCAGGCGGGAGGTCTTTAGTAGAGATTCAGCAAATTAGTGGAGCTAACATTCAGATATCTAAGAAGGGTATCTTTGCCCCTGGTACGAGGAACCGAATAGTAACCATAACAGGGAATCCCCATTCTATTACTACGGCACAATATTTAATCGAACAACGCATTAGCGAGGAAGAGCTGAAGAGAGCACGAAATAACGGCCTGGGTACATTGACAATGCAGTGATTAAATTGCTTGATATCAACATTCATCGAAGAAGGGTACATAGCGACACTGTTGATATTCAATTATTTTTAACTTGATGATAAAATAAGTTGTTGGTAAAGTTAAACTTTTAAATATTAATATTACATTAAGCATAGAACTACAAATATTTTAATTTTTTAATGTATACTTGTGATGTTACCACATTAACTAATGGGAGGCTTTGTCAATATTTTACGTAACGTTTGTTTCGACAGTTGAAAAATTAATAGTCAGAGGTCTCCTATTAACATTTATTTTTTAACTGCGTATATTTCTGCAGTATAAAATTGTTTAGTATCTTAATGTGATTATTTGGATTTATGTAATATATGTATAATATATATGGCTATATTTTTTTAATAATTGTTTTGTAAGACGCGAGTCTTGAGTAATAGACAACGGAAGAGTTTCAGTTATTACACAAGATTTCTTTGTCGATGTATGTAGTAGATATATTTCTTTATATAATATATAAAATAATTTTTCTTCCAGGTAAATTTTTAATCAATGATCTGATACTAGATACCTACAATTAAAAAATCAACTGAAAATTGTGATGCAAATCATCCGTTCATCCATCATTATGAATTCTGTTTGTTATATCATTATCTAAGCATTTTTAAATATAACGTATTTAATTATAATGTTACGTCACATTAATAATATGATATGTATGTGATGAATTATTAATGTCATTGATGTTTTTATTTCAGAATGGAAATATTTGAGTGATAAGTTTGATAAGAAATGACTATGAAATTTTCTGTCTGCTATGGGACGGAACGCGTATATTTCTATGTTAAAGTTTATTACGCAGGGTTGTTACCTATACGTATCCGTACTGCAAATAATTCGGAAAAAGTTTCCATCTAGGCCGTCTTTGGTACATTTGTATAGATTCTTAGCCAAGTTTATTTTTTTAGAGCTATAAATATTCTGTAATTTTTAAAAAATTTATCAATATACGAAGCATTCCATTATTTTAAAATTTTTTGCGGTTCCTTGTTAATTCATTTTTGGGGGAAACTTCAAAAGCTAATTGGAACTCGAAAATTTCCCCGTTTGAAGTAGAATCGATGCGGTTGAATAATTTTTCGGTTGGTTATCAAACCGTCATTTTAATTTTGCGTTTCGAGAGACCTATCGCTTTCTTCTTCATATGAAATTCTTCCTTTGTGCACTGTTTCATGGTTCTAGGAGAAAAGTTCCCGTGAATTTATGCTTCAAAAGGCTTAAGTTTTCGATATACAGGATATAAAGTTTTTGAAAAACATCAGACCACAAATCTTTTCAAAATATTTGTAAAAGAAGTCGTTCTTAACATATATATTTTCTTTTTGTTCAAATGTTATTTTCACTAATTTGATTCCGTATTCCATGTCCAATGGGATTGAGGTTGGGGTTCTATGCCGGCAGGATTTAGCCCAACTTCCAAAAAAATAATTTCGAACCACCTGAGAAGTGTTAGGTCATGAGATAAGGAGCAAATGGTACAGCCAAAGGACTTACAGTCTGTGTGCGGCGATTTATATTCTGAAATTATAAAGTTTCGTATAGTGGAGATGGCTGTTATATGACGTGTACGTGCTACATTTTTCTCCGCATATTGGTATAGAGCTTGATTGAGGGTGATACTGGCTCTTTCGAAAAATTCCCCAAAGGTTTATCAACTGTGAACCACAGTTAGTCTCCAGTTTCAGAAATTCTTCTGGAAAGTGGTATGTCTCTCAAAACGTCGAAAAGCTTGAACTTACGACGACTCAACCGGTTCAGAAATTATTTGACCAGTGACAACGATCTCAGAAGCCTGCAGACGAAGCAAAAATTATTGCGTGTTTCCGCAGTGTTTTTGTAGTGTCTTCATCGATTTCGTTAAATTCCACAGGTAATTTTCTGAATGTAAACAATTCAAGCATTATAATAAAAAAAATTATACATAATTGCTATTTTTCCATCGTATGCAAAGGTGGGGCGTTGTAAAGTAGTGTTGGTACCAACTGTTGTTGGGTACGAGTTAGTAGAAAGTAGTTTGAAAAAGTAAAAGCACAGCAGAAAATTTCTCAGTTTTTTTTCAATCATCTCAGGTTAAATTTAGTGATGGAGGGTTAACCCCATTTAAGTTTATAAAACTGTGATTGGTAATAATATTAAGAAATTGGTATGTTTTCAAGTGAATTAAGTACCTGCAGTAAAACCTCAAATTTAAAATATTTGGCTGGCCAAATACTTACGACACTACAGTAGGTATTATATATTATATAACTGTTACCAATCATAACATATTATATATATATAGAATATTCCATTATAAAACATAACACTGTAAATAGTCATAGTAATATAGTCATCTATAGTCATTTTAAACTAATTTTAAAAGTTTAAAAATCTTATGTGTATGTATATATATATATATATGTATACCGGGTGCGTGACTCAACGTTGCCACTTTCGTTTCGATAGAAAACAAAAGATGAACTTTAAATCATTTCCTAGTCACGGGGGTTTCACTTGGCATAAAAATATTTTCATTTTTATAGATGTGAAAGAAATATAAAGAATGTCTGATAAACAGTTGATTTTATGGGGCATATTAATAGGGGGCAACAAATTATTCGTATCATCCATCTTGAGCGCCATCTGTGACTGACGATAAGAAAAAAATAGCTATGCCAAGTTGAACCCTTTACTGCCTTTTGCTTATGGCTAGCATCAATTTAAAAAATCAACGTTTTTAATAACATTTTTACACGATCAAACATGAATTCCTGGAAAAATAGATTTTGCACTTTCAATCAAAATGTAGCCAGAATTTATCAAATAATTGTTGAAAATTTGAGCCGGTCCTATTCTTCAATTTAACAGCAATTTTATACACAACACATCAAAATTTAATTTATTGGCAATTATAAATATGTGAAAAAATTGTAAAAAATAGTGAATTGGGCGTTTACATAAAAAAATGTAGTGTTTTCTCACTGCACAAGCAATTTCACTATTACCTTCTTATACAGGGTGTTTCAGGATTATATGCAAAAATTTTAAATACGAATTGGGAATCGGACAATAAGAAAAAAAGTTTCTATGGACGTATGTCCGGAAAGATTCGTTAAGGAGTTACGACGAAATTGGCGGCCGAGTTTTAAATTTTTTTCTCAAATTTGAAAACAAGATAAAATCCTGAATTTATATCTATTGAGACCTACTACCTGATTGTAATAAAGAATTATAATAAATTGAACTTATTTCATGTTACGTCTTACATTCTTATTATTTAGATAATAGGCACCCAGTTAGGTTAGTCGCTGAAATACAAACAAAAATTTTATTTTATTTTTTTACTCAAAAACTACTTATTTCATGATAAAGATGAAAAAGTTTCTAAATTAATCTGTCTCTCCAAAAGATGTATTGCAACAATTGAAATCCTAATGAGTCGAATGTTTTCATGAAAAATATACAGGGTGTTGTTGATTTCACCCGTTCCAAATAAGATTATTTTAACGAAAAAATACTGGTTAGATGGGCCTGGATCAGTATAACATCTGTACCAAAATGTTTTCAAATTTGAGAAAAAAATTTAAAACTCGATTTTGACCTCCATTTTTAAACGACGGTAACTCCTTAACGAATCTTTTCCGGACATACGTCCATAGGAACTTTTTTTCTTATTTTCCGATTCCCAATTCGTATTTAAAATTTTTGCATATAATCCTGAAACACCCTGTATAACTTTTTATTCGAATTATTAAATAAATAAAGTGATATTTTAGTTGAGCTGGGAATAAAACCCATTAAACGTGATTTAAACTGGTCGCAGATCTTTCGACTACACACCAACACCGTTTTGCCACCAACATACCTTAATAGATAAGTAAAAATTATAATACAATAAAACACTACACACACCTTTCGGTATTGTTTCCTTATCAATAATACCTGTCCCGTTTTTGTAATAAAACAAAAAGTAGAAGAGTAGATATTTCTAATCGGTGTAGAAGGTAGTGCAACAAATAACCTCATTATTAAAATTGTTGGTTTTAAACAAATATTCATATTTGGGCCTATTGAGTAATTACAATTTAAAAATTTAACTCTAATAAATACACTTGCAATATTTTCCTTAAATTTGTCAACCTAGTGAATAAATTTGATTTTCGTTGATTGTGCAAAACTGCTATAAAAGGAAATACCGGTGGAAATGTTAAGTGGCTCACCCTGTGTATAGTTGTTATCGCATGTTGTTGATATTGTTAATGTTTGGACTTGCCATCAAATAGTTTAAAAAATAGTTGTTAAAAATATGTTCGTCAGTTTGAGTTGCCTCCTTGATTATATGTATATTAGAAAATTTGGGAAAATTTGTTAGAAATACCACCGATGCGTATAAACCACTCAAATCAGCAAACTAATAAATGTCCTCTTAAGTTTTTTATTCAGTTTTGTATTATTGAATAAAGACCCATCGCAAACTTTTATTAATCGTCGACTTATATCTTTTAACCCCAGCATGCACTTCTAGCCACTTCATTATTGCGTATTTTTGTTGCTTCGAACATGCAAAGTAACAAACTATTTCTCATAATTAAAAAATTATCAATAAACCTTTATTAGTTTGTTGAACTGATATTTTCATTGTCATATTAAATAATTCCTTTGGAGAGTCTAAATTAATCGTAAGTAATATTTTCAACAAATATTTCCTAAAAATCAGTGTCTTTATCTTACTATAAATTAAAAACACAAGCCTTTTATTTGTCACTTGCCATTAAGATTTATGTTGCAAAGAAAAAAAATTAAAATTAACTGAATTGAATGAGATACTCATTAATTAATACATCTTTTACACAATAGCACAAGAGATACAGGGAAGGTGATCATTAATGAAAAGAAATTTCCGTTTTCGTTTATTGAAAATTTATCCTCAAAATTGGCTCGATATTTAAATTAATATTTCCCAAATTTTTTGTCACTTATTATACGTGCGGTATTGAATATACCTATACCTTATTTTTTATGTATTTGTGGGAAGAGAAGATACAATTTATATATATAATAATTCTGGATAAAATGATAAAATATATATATGTATATATAGAAGTAAAATTATTAACCACACATCCTTAAAAATCTTTCACTTATCCACAGAAACCAACACTCGGAAAATACTGCGAAAAATCTATTCCAAACCTTTCACCAGATTCTACATAGATCAAATCAAGATATAATATGAATTGTGTGACATAGTTGTGGATGTTTGAATTCACTATACAAGGTGTTTAATCACTAATGAGCCAGATCAGCAATAGATGATTATGATAAAAATTGAAGGCAAATAAAAATTTTGTCGAAATGTGTTTTTGAGATACGAGTAATTGAAAATGAAAAAATTTAAATTATTTTCAGACATCTCTTGGAAGCTATAAATGATTTTTTCTAATATTTAGATGGATTTCCATCAATACAATTTTTCAACCAGATGTAAAATTAGATTTAAATTTTGGAATTTCGTTTTCATAAATTTTTAGCAATATTTTTTTTTATGATTTAGACCAATTCCGTAAAGAAAATTGGTGTCCTTTTTTCTTTGGGATGATGTTTATTACCTCAGAAGTATCGCTTCTGTTTAAAAATTTTAATTATACCGATACACAAAACAAAAAAGTGGTCTCTGATGATTCTTTGCCATTTTCATTTTTTTTGCGTTCTTTTGCAAAATCTGTGGAGGGGTACAGCCAATAGACTTCAAACTCGATTTCAGAGGGTCAATATACATAACAAACATAGTTGATCAAGATCAGAAAAATTTTTTGGGTGTTTTATGCAATTTTTCACTATTTTGCGATTTTTGTAAAATTGGGGCGGTGCAGCTTAAAAGACTTCAGATTTGGATTTAGCACATCAAAATACGTAAGCAACCCACTTGATCAAGTCCAGAACAAATTTATCCGAATTTTTTTGGGTTCACTAACATGACGGCCATATTTCACTATTTTTTGCCAATTACTCAAAACTTTGGGATGTTTGAGCTAAGCAAACTTCAGATTTGGATCAAGCACGTCAAAATACACAAAGTCTGTTGGGTCAATTCAAAGGTACTGACCACTTTTTTTATTTTGTGTGCCGATGTTATCAATCATTATTTCTCCTTATTTGGTTAAATTTTATTGGCGTATTTTATATCGCAAATTGACAAAAAAAATGTCATAAATATGTGTCTGGAATTGTTTCATTTTTGGGTGTTCAAAATTAATGAAAAGGCATGGCTTATTTTAAGTTGAGAGATTTTATCATTGATGTTGAAAGAAGATAATTTTGGAAACTCTAGTACTCTATTATCGAGGCAAATTTGAAGTAGCTTAAAAGAAATGCAAACAAAAATTAGAACGAACAAACCCGTTACATCAATACATGTTTTAGGTAATCGAAATTAAAACTAGGTATATGTCAAATTTGAACAAAATCACTGGCGTTTTTTTTGGATTGTAAAAGATCAAATATTTTTCTCGACTTATAACAACCTGTATCTCAAAAACCAAGCGTTTCTGGGCACATACCTATTTATAGGAACTCTTTTTGATGATTTGTGACGTTATTCCGCCAGTAAAGTTTATTAAGCATTTTAGTTCCACTCTATATAAAAGGTACTAGACATTTTGGTACCAAAAAATATTATGGTAAGTTTTAATAAAAAATTCTTTCGCTTGGAACTATTAATTAAACAGGGATTCTTTTTACACATTAAGAGTTATTTTTAACGTAACTTATGGCAATTAGTGCTCTGCACAGTATAATAAATACCAGATACTTACCAAAGGCTGCACTGCATTCAAACAGGGGAGTGGTCGAACATAAGTATGTAGCTAGGAAATAGATGAGTATCCTTTGATTAAAACTTCTCTGGCACTAGCATCGTAGCAAGCAATAAATAAATACAATAAAAATAACACTGTATTCAATCTTCAATGTTTTTCTTTATTTGGCGATAACTCACAAAATAGCACACTTTTAAGAAAAAATCTTTTTCTAATACTTGGGCCGATTTTTCACATATTTTGTCGTATTACCAGTCATGAGTGCACATTTCGAACATTTGTGATAAAATTTAAAATTACCATTTAATTTTGTTTTGCTTTATCTATGTTGTTTTGTTTTTGTTGTTCTTGTTATTGTTATGTATAAAGGCTGCTGTGTTAAGGAGTTAAAAATAGGAAATATTAAAGCAATTTATAGAAAAAATTCAAATGTTTCATATGGTTACTTGACATTTTTATTAAAGTTATAATTATATTCAATATCTTGGTTATTTATTCATAAAAACCCCATCAATTATATATCCTTTTATCTTTATAAATTCTCTTTAGAATTTCCCTTTTCTTCTAATGAGGCAAACATTCAATATGGCATCCATAACAAAAACAAACATTAACTACCGCTCAGCACACATTTTTAGAGATGTGTTAATACTGACAGCAAAAATAGAATCGTCATTTAATATTAAGACTACACTTTTATTTTTTTTTTTGTTAATTTGTAACACAGAATCCGTCTTTAAAATTTGGCCAAGTATTTTAGTTGCACTCTCTACATGCGTTCTCCTTGAAGCGAGAATCACTCGTACCTTCAAAATGTATTTGCCTTCTTCAAAGCTCTTCCTCTTATAAGTTGTTCATCGCCTTCGCAAGCAGACCTTTATTATAGTCCACAGTACAGGCCCCCCCTGGAAAGTTGATTACCACATACTTTATAACTCCTGAGGAGCATCCTTTTGACCAGTCTACCACATTTTTCCTCTACGACTTTTCTTGATTCCTCCGCTTTTCCACTCGGAAAAGTCTAAAAACATGGCAATTTCCCGGGGTCTTGAAAACTCAAGACCACATCTTTTATTTTTAGCTTAAGTAACTGGAAATTTTGTTGTGAATGCCGATTTAAATTTGTCCGACAGAAATTCCTCCGTCATTGACGTGTCTACCGGTCGAAACATGCCAAAATATTTTTCCAGCTGTCGGACTGAAAAAACGCGGCCTGAAATTTGTCGGACAACAATACTTTTTGACTGAATTAATTATTTACAATTAATTTTACTAAAAATTACGTATGTGGTAATTGATTTTCAATACCCTGTTATTTTGGCATGTTTCGACCGGTAGACACGTCAATGTCGGAGGAATTTCTGTCGGACAAATTTAAATCGGCATTCACAACAAAATTTCCAGTTACTTAAGCTAAAAATAAAAGATGTGGTCTTGAGTTTTCAAGACCCCGGGAAATTGCCATGTTTTTAGACTTTTCCGAGTGGAAAAGCGGAGGAATCGAGAAAAGTCGCGGAGGAAAAATGTGGTAGATTCGTCAAAACGAAGCTCCTTAAGTTGAAGTTATAAAGTATGTGGTAATCAACTTTCTAGAGGGGGCTTGTACTGTGGACTATTAGTGATGACAGCGCACAATTTCATTCTGTGAATTGGGAATGATACAAATGTATACCTATTTGAATGTTTTAAAAAGTAGGTACGTAAGTTCTTTTTAGAATCAAAATTAGAAATTCATTAAATGTGGGTAATTTCTGTACCTTCTAAGGTTGCCAGATCTCCGGGTTTTCTTTGTTGCGGAAAAATCGTGGGAACATTTCTTGATTCCATCATTTATTTTTTTTGGCATCAATTATATAATCGGGTCATGTCTCCGGGTCTGTCATGAAATATATCTGGTGTAACACTTGTTTATTTTTAACGTATTGTAATAATACGAATCAATATATATTTTATTATGAAATGAAACTATCGTGGTTGCTTTGAATCAAACCTCAGCTGTTCACACGAAATGCGCCAGCCAAGTATTTATGTGCCCTTGAATAATGTAATTTGTGGGTATATACAAAGATGTAGCTCAGGATGCGGAAACAGAGAGGGTGTTCTTTGAGACAGTGGTGTCTGGCCAGCGCCCGAATAAGGTCGATTATATCTGTGTGCTAGCTTGAATATATTTGTTTAATGATTTGTGAATTTGTGAGTAATATGCCATACTCGTTTATGTTTTTGAAAACCCCAGGGCATGCCACGTGTTCCCGGTCTTTATGGCTGTGGTTCCTTCAAAGTGTGTCTTGTAAGTTCTACGGGGTCTTGCATGCGCTTTGATTGACACATACTGGGTGGTGTTGAGTAGGTGGCATAATAATAATAGTGTGACTCACACACCCGGTAGTTGGGATGCTAACTAGTTGGCGTCCGGGGGAGCCTCGACTTATTTCAGGTGACACTAGCTAGTTGTTGAAGAAAGAATGATACATAGTTGCTAATTGATATAATGGAATCGTATGGAGGGATATACCTTGAATCCTAAGGTTAGGGGGAGTGAAACCCCCCGGTGAGTTACCTATTTATTTGTTTTTATTGACAGAACAGTAATTTTGTTATTTGTTTCATATACCCTCTT